AGAGAGATGAGTTGAATTGTGCCGCCGTGGGTGGTGGTGGACTGGTGGGGATTTGAGGTCGACGGCCATGGTGGGCGGAGTGGATGAGACGACAATGGGTTTGCTGAAGTCTGAAGACGACAGGTGATTTTTTAATTTACTTTTTAACCAACAATTTTATATACAATTTTTAACTCAATCCACATGGCAAAATACCGTTGCCTAGGACCCAAATACATGACATGTCAGCACATTAATATTCCAAAAAAACTTAAAAATACTAAAAAGTTTTAAAATGATGAAAATTAAAATGATGGAATTTTATTTTTTAGAATTTGTCAATAATCTTGTTTGACTAATCTAAAAACAATGGAATTTGAATACGAAATTTGTTATTTTTAAACTTTCACTTATATAAATTTAGAAATGACACTTATTTTTAAACTTTTACTTAAAAATTTTAAATTTCTATTTTTATGAATCCAAACTAAGGAATTAATGCATGTCAATTTATAAAATTGACTTTTGTCAAAATTCTATGTTTATTTCCTTCCAACCATAGTGTAAAGGAATTCTTAAAGGAATTAGATGACAATGACAATATTAAAAAGTTAATAAAGGGTGGGACGAAATTGATGAGTTTGAAAGATTAAAAAACCAAATTGATGACTTCACAGTACATTAGAAACCATTTGTGATTAAAAAAAAAAAACCCCATGCATAATGTGGAAGTCGGAATTAATCTAACTAATATGTCAAACTATCTAGTAAGAAAACAATGCCTCATACATTAAAAAAAAAAAAAAAAAAAAAATATATATATATATATATATAATATATATTACTAGCGATACTCACTACTCTTGTATGAGCGTAAAATCGCACTAATCCAGAACCAGATAAAATTCAATTTCAGAAACGCAACAAAACCTTTATATTTTAAGTGAACATATAAGAAAACAAAAACTGTCACATCCCTGCCCCGGCCCCCATCACATCCTTGGCTCGACTCCACCGTAGCACGATATTGTCTTCTTTGAGCCCCGACCACGCCCTCACGGTTTTGTTTTTGAGAACTCAGATGAGAACTTCCCAGTAGGTCACCCATCCTGAGATTACTCTCGCGCAAACTCGCTTAACTTCGGAGTTCCTACGGAACCCGAAACCAGTGAGCTCCCAAAAGGCTACTTGCTAGGTAGGAATGAGAATATACATATAAGGATCACTCTCCTGGGCGATGTGGGATCTTACAAAAACAAAAAGTTAAAATAGAGCAAAATTAGACGTTTGCATAACGTTGCTTGCTCAGATAGTCAGTTATTACGCTCGCACAGTCTATTTATTACGTTCACGTTGTTGATTAGTGGTACGTTATGTGTTATATTCTTTGTCCACTAATCATCTCTAATATTTCCCTTGTTAATTGACAACTCTGTGTAATATTTTGTGGTATGATTCATGAACTAAGCTGAAATTAAAACCCTTTACCTAACTCCATGTTTAAAAACTTATAGCTTGTCTCTCAGTTTATAACCGAACTAGGGATGGGCAACGGTTATGGCAGGTGGGTAACTACGGTTATTTAGTCATAACCGTTTATTCTCATACCCGCATAACCGTTTACCCGTTAAGTAATTGTCTAAACGGTTATACCCATACCCATAACCGTTTATAAACAGTTAACATACCCATAACCGTGTACCCATTTAACCGTAACCGTTTAGTACCCGTTTACCCATTTATCATTTTTAAACCCGTTTATCCTTTCTTTTTTACCATTTACTCATTTTTCACCCGTCTACGTGTTTTTTAACAACTTGAAAATTAAAAAAGAAAAATTTGTCATAATTTTCTTTTTATAACAATTAAACACCGTTATAACTATTTATTAAACTGAACGCTGACTATTTTTTAAGTCCTTATACCATTCTAAAAATTGAAATAATATTTTACAGACAATATTTTTAATTGTTAGCAATGAAGGTAATATAAAATTTGTTAAGTATTCTTGGGTTACGAAAATTGTTAATAGACAGTATTCTTGGGTTATTTAACTTGAAATGTAAAATATTAACATAATATATATAATGGACCATGAAATTTAAAGTGGTTAAGAAAAGTTATATTATATTAGCTATATAAATCATGCACTATAGTCAATAACATTGATCTAAGTTTTGTTCGATAGGGAACATGGTTTGTGTTAATTTTACATATATAAAATAAATGGGTAAATGGTTACCCGTTTATAACCGCGGTTAATACTTATAACCGTCCATTTAAATTTCGCGAGTAAACGGTTATACCCATAACCGTTTATTTATTTAAACGGTTACCCATAACAGTAATTGTGAAATTTAAATGGGCAGATAACCACGGTTACTCATAACCGATGGGTATTTGCCTATCCCTAAACCGAACATCACGTCAATTGAAAGTTGAGCCCTTCCGTATTCACGAGAAAAAAATCCTCAAAAAAAAAATATTTAAGACAGAGCTCCAAATCATTATTTTGGTAAGTAAAAACTTTACAAAGAAATCACTTCTGTTAGCATGAATATATTTTCCTTCATTTTTTTCTGCAGTTAAAAGTGAGTAAAATCTATCTTAACTGTTAATTGACCGAATGGCAACTGTCATTCTGCACCGAAAAACTTCAATTTCATAAATGGAAAATGATTTGGCTACCGATGTGAGATTTTAACATAAATTATATGAGATATTGTTTGTTAGAAATGCGATGAATGTACCTAACACAAAAGAGAACACTTATCCAGTAAGAAAACATTACCTCATATATACCATTTTTATTTTATCTTGGCGGTAAACGCGTGAAGTGCACTATTTAGTGTCATAAAACCGAATCCAGAAACCAGATTACATATTCAAATTTCATAAATGATACGCGACAAAACCTCCATATTTTAAGTGAATAGATAAAAAACAAAAAGAAAAAAGTTAAAAGAGACTAGAATTGGACGCATACATAACGTTCTTTGCCCAAATAGTCAGTTATTGCGTTCACACAGTCTGTTTTTGCCGTTTACGTTGTCGATTAATGATGCGTTATGTGTTATATTATTAGGCGCTAACTAGCCATTTACATTGTCGGTTAGTGATTTGTTATGCTTTATATTATTAAGCCGCTAATCACCTCTTATCCTTTGTTAATTGACAACATTGTGTAGCATTTTTGCTAGGATTTATGAACTGAGTGTGTTTAAGAGCTTATGTCCGAGATAGCCATAATAGCTTGACTCAGTTGACGACCGAACCCCACGATAACTGAAAGTCTAGCCTTTCCTCATCGAGAAATACCCCAAAAAATATTTAAGAAAATCCCTTCAAATGATTATTTCAGAAAATAAAAGAACTTTTATAAATATATGCACCCAAAAACAACCCTCACTTACTAACACGCGCCTCTGAGCGCGTAGGACCGCACCATACAACGATACCTATGGCTTGCCAATCTAGCTCGTAATAACATCACTACGACTTGTCGTTCAAGCCACTAGTAATAAACCTCCGTAACTTCCACATAGGTGGCAGCACACCATTGGCCCGCCTCTTAACTACTAGAAAATTTTCAATGTACCTGAAACACGAAACAAAACGTCACATTGCATCATACAATTAAATAATTTTATTTTATTTTAAGTTTCTCTAAGTAGTATAATGACATGATATTTCAATTTCGTGTTGAGACCTCGTACTCCAAACACACTAAGGCCTCGTTTGGCAGCTCGTGTTGTACTGACTATTTCAGTCGGATAGGATAAATAGTCACCGGATAGTATTGACTAAATTAGTCGGGCGTTTGGTGTAATATCAGACTAAAGACCGACTATTTAATACTGTGTTTGGTATTATACCGGATAAATCGTATTGTTATTATTTTTATGAAAAACAATTTCCATCAGTACTGAACCCATCACAGCTGACAAGCGAAAGAGCTTTGAACCCACCAGAACAAACACCCAACATCTCCAGGCTCTCATCCTCTTCAGCCGGAGCTCCTCTAGCAGCGGGTACTCGGCTGTTCTTCCACCATGCCCTTGCACACCAGCGACACCGAGGTCCGGTCCTTTCTCGACTCCACCATGCCCAGAACCCGCTCCAGAACCTCTTTTACCGGAGCCTATTTCACCTGGGTTTCTTCTGCCAAAGCATTATGAAATCTTTCCTTCAACCCTTTAACAAAGCATTATGACAACAAATGGTTAACAAAAACTATGCTAATCTAAATTTCCCAAATTACTTTGACAAAAAAATCCCCAAATTACAAATCGCAGAACAAAAGTTCTACAACAAAAAAATTCCCAGGACCGGCGACATGCGAACTTGTGCGGGTACCACGACGAGGAACTGAAGAGGAGGGCAAAGGCAGTGGAGTGAAAGAGGAACAGGAAGATACAACATCTTGATTTTCTTTCTAACCAAGTCGACTTGGGATTCTTTGAGAGAGACCCTGTTGAGAATTAGTTCTTTTTTCAGCCATGGCTTTGGAAGTGGGTCTGAGGAGAGAGAGAAGACGAAGGAGAAGAAAATAAGGAAGAAAAAATCCGGGATTGGCGATGGCAACGGGCAGCGACCTGTAGTAAGAACGATCTGAGAGAGTGAGCGATGGAGCAAGACTGGATGGAACCGACTAATTATACGAAGGTTTTTGGAAGGATAAATAAACGGGCATACACCGGATAAATGTGTGGACCCAGTATAAGTAATACGGGTACTATTTAGTACAGAATTGCACCAAACACCCGGAACCGTATTAACTATCCTATCCGATCTCTTATACGGGCTACCAAACGAGGCCTAAAAAATCTCTCTGCACCAACGCAGGCCATAGTGTACAAATCTCGTCCGGTCTATTGTAGCAGGAATCTTTAAGGGCCACGTGTCAAATGTTACAGGATTTAGTATCTCACGCGCTATGGTGGCGCGTGGAGATATCGCTTTCGTACGTCTTTATATGGTCCAGAGCCCCCCCCCCCCCTTCCCTCTCTCACACACCAAAAGAAAACACTCGGGTCCTCTCTCTCCCACCTCTCCATCTCTCTCTATAAAATCGTAATATTTTCTCTCTCCAAGTACACAACGACTTTTGCTTTCTCAAATATTTTTCTCTTTGGTTTTGGCCTCCTTCGAAATCAGCCTTCGTGGTCATGAAAGCTTAGCTTCCATAAAACCCAGGTACAACCCTCTCTCTCTCTCTCTCTAGTTTTCATGTCCAACAGCGTGCGTGAGTTTTCTCTCTCTAAAAATAGAGAGACTCAGAGGCACAGGCTCTCTGTGTGAGAGAGTGTGTGTGCGCTTCACGCTTTGTTTTATTTATATATTTTTAATCCAAAGCTTGCAAATTGGTGCTAAAACTCCAAGACCCATTTTTCTCAGGCTTGCTCTGTCACGTGGGTTCGGCTTCAAATATCGTTTCCTTCTCCGTGGAGGTATGGAAATATTAAAAAACCAATTCTTTCGTTTTCTGGGTTGCTGTTTTTATTTGTTTTACGATTCAATGCAGTTCTCTCTGTGTTTTTGGAGGGTCATTGTTTGGTAAATAAGTGGAATTTCATGGGATCGTATTGGAATTTTCACTGGGACTGTGGTTTTTGCCTGCCGGAATGCTTTCCTGTTCTTTCTGTCGTTTTTTTCTATGTTGGGTAATTATTTATTTTTATTAAAGTTTAGTACTTTTTGGTGTTTTTTTGTTTTGGTCGTGATTGTTTGTTGTTTTGATATGAATGTGCTTAATGGGTTTTCAGATAATTATCTTAAAGTTTATACCTTTTTGTAGTTTCGTCGATTTTAGTCTGGGTTCGAAAAGGGATCTGGATTGGTTATTTTGTTGCGGGCTTGCTACTTAACGCTCTGTTTGCTTGTCTTTCTTCTGGTTTATGCTTGAAAAAATTATTGCTGGGTTATTATTATTTTTTGGTACCTTTTTATTAAAAAAATAAATTATTGGTACCAAAAAAAAAAAAAAATATTTATGATTATTTGTGGTTTATGAGTAAACTTTTTAATATAATAAATGCAAGAAAAAAAAAATATTTTGTTTGCTTCAAATTTTGAAATTGGTATTTATCAATTTGTTCTGAGGAAATTCCTCTCTCTTTCTCTCTGTAATTAATGATTAACTAGGATTTATTGCTGCTAGTTGCATGAGTTCTTCAATCTGTATTGCTGCTAGGATAAAAATAAATGTTTTATCTTTGGCATGTTTATGACCAACCTGCTGCATTAGTAGCAGCTCAATTGGTTTTGGACTTCTTCATAACCGAACGGTCGTGTCTTGGTTGCTCCTTTCGATCCCGTAAATATGAACTTTTAGATTGGAAACATTGAACAGATTCAACAAAATGAGAAATTTAGTCTGAAATTTTGAAAGGGTATTTGAAAATGTAAAATTGGACTGGATTTTGTTAGAGTAGAAGCATTTTTTTAGCATGCAGTTCTATTCCTCATTTTCTATCTTTCTCAGTTGGCTATCATGTTCTTATAATGGTATCAAAAATATGATCGGGGGAGCAATGTACGATTTCAAATTGGCATATAGCATTCATAATTTTCGAAATTTTTTATGAAGTATATGTCTTTTAAATTGTCTGTTGGACAGAAGGAAGAACCTTGATCCTTTTGTTGTCTCAGAAAGGCTATTTAACAATACCAGTTCCCCCTCCCCCTCCTTCTTGTATGACAGATGGATTCAGTTGAAGGAAATAGCCATGGGGATATCAATGACGATGAAGCTGAGCATTCATTTTCTCCAGAAGCTTCTGATATATGTGGTGTCTCTGGTGACCCTGAGCTAGGTCCTAGAGTTGGAGATGAGTACCAGGCTGAAATTCCCTGTCTACTAGCTGTTTCTGACTATATACGGCTTTTAAAAAACCCAACTGATGCAGAAATTTCTGGCGGTAGTCCCTGTGGTTTAGTAATGGGTTTGCCTGTACCAGTAATGTGGATCAGCGAGGAATTGGACACCAAAAAATATGAACATGTCGGAGAGACCTTGATTGATTCAGAAAGTGACAATGTAAAGTGCAAAGCTGATCCAACGGATGCTAAGTCCGATAATGTGAAAACATCTGGCGAGTCAGAAAATCTAGTATTGAAACAAGAAAGGAAGGCTGAAATGCATCAAAAGCCTGGAGGAGTGTACTGTCCGGTTCCTGGTTCTGCAGGAGACAATTGGATTGACATGGAAGAAGCCAGTTTTCTTCTTGGTTTATATATCTTTGAGAGGAACCTCGTTCTGGTGAAGAAGTTTGTCGGAAGCAAACAAATGGGTGATATTTTGTCATTCTACTATGGGAAATTTTACAAGTCTGACAGATACAAGAGATGGAAAGAATGCAAAAAAATGAGAAGCAGAAAATGTATATTTGGGCAAAGAATTTTTACTGGGCCAAGGCAACATGAGTTGTTTTCTCGTTTGTTTCCTCACGTGTCAGAAGAATGCCAAACTTCTTTGCTTGAGGTAATTACATCTCTACGAAACTTCAATAATGTGGATAAAAATTATATCAGCCTGTCTGTACACACATCAATATGCAAACAAACAAACAAAAGTATGCTAAATTAGTTATTTGCTTTCCTGAATACTCTAATTCAGGTTCTGTGTAGATTCTCTGCCAACATTTTTCAAGTTATTATTTGATTGCTAAAATTTAGACAGATTAGTATCCCTTTAATTGTTTAACTCTTTGTACATAGTTCTCACAAAGTCCCTATATGCCTTCTGTAACTTTGCTTTCCTTTTGTGTACCCGTTTATTTTTTTTGGCAGAGTTGAATCATGTGGAAGTGATTTGTAAAATCGAATTTGTGTGTTTATTACTTTAGCAATTAGTTCCATGTCTAAAGATTACCGCCTCCTACTCATTAAATTTAGTAGTATTTTAGCTTAAATTATGGATTTATGCAGATACTGTATAGACAAATTATATATGAAAATACTGACAAATGTTTATTTTCTGATGAAGATAGACAAGCAAGTGCAAATATGTAATGCATGTGGATCCATCATTTTATCTGCCACTTGTTTCCTTCTGATTTTATACAACAGAAACATATAACGTTGACTACTCAAAATGAAATCTGTTAATGCAGATAAACAGTTGTTTTACAGAAGGGATACACCTTGGATTTTACTATGATTGTTTGTCCCTTTATTTGTTCGTATCAGGATATGGTATGTTTTAATTTGTTTGACCAATTCCAGGTCTCGAAGACATTTGGGGAAGGAAAAATTTTACTAGAAGAATATGTATTAATTTTAAAGGCTAGAGTTGGATTGAATGCACTGGTAAAGGCAGTGGGAATTGGTACAGGAAAGAAAGATCTCACAGGCATTGCCACAGAGACTTTAAAGTCCAATCAGGTTGCTCCCGTTCGCCCAGAAATACCAACTGGCAAAGCATGCTCCACCCTTACGCCACTAGAAATAGTCAACTTTCTAACAGGGGGCTTCCGGCTAAGCAAAGCCCGCTCGAGCGATCTCTTTTGGGAAGCTGTCTGGCCTCGTTTGCTTGAAAGAGGGTGGCACTCTGAGCAGCCTTATCCGGGTTTCTCCACTGGTTCCAGGAATTCATTGGTCTTTCTTATCCCTGGTATTAAGAAATTCTCAAGAAGGAAACTGGTGAAGGGATCCCACTACTTTGATTCGGTAAGTGACGTCCTGAATAAAGTTGCTTCAGACCCTGAGCTTCTTGAGCTTGAAATGGGAGCAAATAAAGAAAATGGGTGGACAGATGAAACAAAGCTGGACGAACAAGACTTCCCAAATCAGCAACGTCACTGTTATCTGCAGCCTCGTACTCCAAATCGTAGTAGTACAAATGTCATGAAGTTTACGGTTGTGGATACTAGTCTGTCTAATGGGAAAATATTCAAGGTGAGGGAACTGAGAAGCTTACCGCTTGAATTGGATGTCTCCGCCTCCAGAAGTGATTCTGAAGATGACGATGAGGATGCTTCTGAGGATTCAGCAGATAAATATAATTCTGCTAATTCCTTGTGTTCACAGAGGGATGAGATCCACGTTTTGAAGTCCATCCGTTTGGGTAGAAATGGTGACAAATATTTTAAATATGGTACTTCAGAGGTGGAACATCAAGCTTTTGGTCAAGGTTCGACTACTGTGACTGCAGATCTCCCCAAGAATGAGAACATTGGTACATGCAACGACATGCAGCGCCGGAAAGCTATGAAGTGCCAAAAAAGCCGGAAAATGGTTTCTGAAAATGAAAATCATCTTGCCCCTGTTTCAAAAAGACGTCGACGGTTAGCTGCTTGTAGTCGCACAGAGATCACCCCCAGCAGGAGCCAGTTCTTGCAAGGTCCCATGTTACAACAAGATGTGTCTGGAGACCATGCGGCACTTGGTGAGAAAACTCCTTCTCAAGTGGAACCATCTGGAGAGAAGTTATCATCCGCCAGTACTTCGCCTAGAGGAGCCAGCCCAGTTGATAGTGGTGAAGGCAATCGTTGTGGCAACAGTTTGCCTGTGGAAATATTCCAAGAGAATCCTCAGCGCCCTATGTTGATTGACTTGAACATGCCCCCGCCTCTAGATGCTGAAACTGATGAACCTTTCACAATGATAGAAAGACAAGATGATCAAACACACCAGGAACCAGATGCTGCTTCCCATTCAGTGAATCCCTCTGAAAGTGGGGCAACTTCTGAACAGCAGCCTGCAATGAACTCTCGGAGACAGAGCACAAGAAACCGACCACTGAGCACTAAGGTACTGGAATCTTTAGCTTATGGATTTTTAGACACAAAACAGAAGCGGAAGAGTAGGGACGAATTTCCCCAAGACACCTCCAAATTAAGGCCATCCAGGCGTGCTCGTACTAAGGTGAGCGATCTCAACAGTTTTGATACTAGTCTCCCGGATTTCAGTATGCAGGAAACCAGGAGTGCTATCCCCAATAACAACGCTGACGGGTACAGTGAACTTGATATGGTCTCGTAAGTCGGTTAGGTGCTGAAAATCTAACAAACAACTTGAACAAAGAGCTTCTGCATATAACAGAGACCGGCTCGTGCGGTTATAACCAACCCATGATAAACAGCAAAGGCAGCAAGTCTCTTCATTCTTCTGCATTGTACATGGTGTTACATACAAATTTCATTGGAAATTCGGAGTAGCAGCGTCCTTTCCTGTGGCCATTACATCAGCAAAAGCAGCGCAAATACCCGGAAAACCAAAGATGAGAGATAAAAGTTACCCTCCTCCCCTTCAGTCTTAGTTCAACAGCATTTGATAAAACCATTTACTTTCTCTCGTATGTACAATTTACTTTAAAAGTGGTCGTTTTTTTCTTTCCTTAATTATGAGTTGCAAGACCAACTTATAGGGTGACCGTTGTTGCGTTCTGATCAAATGTAGTTCGATTTCTTAGACTCGCGTCGACAGTTTCTCATCGGTTTACATCTGAAATTTTCGTAATTTGAAGAGATTTGTGTTGAGCATTGTTTGTTGCCTGCCGAAAGCAAAAGGTAAGTTAAGCTTTAAGTTTCCTTAGAACAGTTTGATTGCTTGCTATTTAGATATCAAAGCTACGGGTGTTCAAGATTCAATCCAATCCGCCCAAACGATCGATTCAATCCAATCCAATCTTGGTCGATGTTGATGATTTGAAAGTCTAGAGAAACGAGGATGGGGAAGCTATCTTGGATTTGCAATGGCATATGATCTCTTCTTAGCCAACACCTTCTTTAAGAAGAGAGAAGAACATGTGATCACCTACAAGAGTGGGTCGTCAAAAACACAAATAGATTTTCTTCTAATGAGGAAAGGGGATCGTATAACTTGTAAGGATTGCAAAGTTATACCAGGAGAGAGCGTGGCTAATCAACATCGCTTGTTGGTGATGGATGTACATATCAAAAGAGTAAGACAAAAGAACAAGACTTGGAAGTGCCCAAGGACTAGATGGTGGAATCTAAAAGAAGAAAAACAAGCCATTTTCAAAGAGAAGGTAATCACCCAATGTGTGTGGGATAGAGAGGGGGAAGCTAGCCAAATGTGGGATTCCATGGCTAGTTGTATCCGAAAAGTAGCAAAAGAGGTATTAGGAGAGTCCAAGGGCTTTGCCCCACACCAAAAGGAATCTTGGTGGTGGAATGAGGAGGTACAAACAAAGGTGAAGGCTAAGAAGGAATGTTGTAAAGCCTTATACAAGGAGAGGACTGATGAAAATGGTGAAAGGTATAGAAAAGCGAAGCAAGAGGCGAAGAAAGCTGTCAGAGAAGCTAAGTTAGCGGCTTACGACGATATGTATAAACGACTAGATACCAAAGAAGGAGAGTTGGATATCTATAAACTATCTAGAGCAAGGGAAAAGAAGACAAGGGACCTAAACCAAGTGAGGTGCATCAAGGATGAGGATGGAAAGGTTCTTGCTACAGAGAACGCGGTTAAAGACAGATGGAGAGGTTATTTTCATAATCTTTTCAATGAAGGACATGAAATGAGTGCTTCTTTAGGGGAGTTGAGTAACTCAGAAGAGTGTAGAAACTACTCTTTTTATCGTCGAATCCGGAAGGAAGAAGTGGTTGTAGCTTTGAAGAAGATGAAGCATAAAAAAGCAATAGGCCCAGACGATATACCAATCGAAGTGTGGAAACTTTTGGGAGAGACAGGTATAACATGGCTCACTGACCTTTTCAATAGGATTTTGAAAACGAAGAAGATGCCAAATGAGTGGCGAATGAGCACTTTGGTGCCTATCTACAAGAATAAGGGCGACGTACAAAATTGCATGAACTATAGGGGTATTAAGCTAATGAGTCATACAATGAAGCTCTGGGAGAGAGTCATTGAGCATAGATTGAGGCAAGAGACACGGGTTTCGGACAACCAATTCGGGTTCATGCCAGGGCGCTCAACCATGGAGGCAATCTATCTCTTACGAAGATTGATGGAAGATATAGAGATGGGAAAAAGGATTTACACATGGTCTTTATAGATTTGGAAAAAGCGTATGATAGGGTCCCAAGAGACATTCTTTGGAGGATTTTAGAGAAGAAAGGAGTACGAGTAGCATATATCCAAGCTATAAAGGATATGTATGAAGGAGCAAAGACTGCCGTAAGAACTCATGAAGGACAAACCGAAAGCTTTCCCATAACTGTAGGATTACATCAAGGCTCATCCTTAAGTCCTTACCTTTTTGCGTTGGTAATGGATGAGTTAACACGACATATTCAAGATGATATTCCTTGGTGTATGCTTTTCGCAGACGATATAGTGTTGATAGATGAAACTCAGGAAGGGGTAAATGCAAAGCTTAACCTTTGGAGAGAAGTGTTGGAATCTAAAGGTCTTCGCCTAAGCCGATCAAAGACAGAATATATGGAGTGCAAGTTCAGTGCAAATGGAGGCCAAAACGAGTTAGGGGTGAGGATCGGAGATCAAGAAATACCAAAGAGCGACCGTTTTCGTTACCTAGGATCTATCTTGCAAAAGAACGGAGAATTAGATGGAGATCTCAACCATAGAATACAAGCTGGATGGATGAAGTGGAAGAGTGCATCCGGCGTGTTGTGTGACCGCCGTATGCCACTGAAGCTCAAGGGAAAATTTTATAGGACGGCAATAAGGCCGGCGATGCTGTATGGCACAGAATGTTGGGCGGTGAAACATCAACACGTACACAAAATGGGTGTAGCGGAGATGAGGATGCTTCGTTGGATGTGTGGGCACACGAGAAAGGATAAGATTAGGAATGAGGATATCCGGGGTAAAGTAGGAGTAGCCGAAATTGAAGGAAAGATGAGAGAAAATCGGTTACGGTGGTTTGGACATGTGCAAAGAAGGCCTACTGACGTTCCGATTAGAAGATGCGACTATGGGACAGAGGTTCAGGGCCGAAGGGGTAGAGGAAGACCTAGGAAAACTTTGGAAGAGACTCTAAGAAAAGACTTAGAGTACTTGGATCTAACGAAGGACATGACACAGGATCGAGCACAATGGCGTTCTAAGATTCATATAGCCGATCCCACTCAGTGACTTGGATTTTCCAAGTCTCCAACCGAGAAGTTTTCCTCACTCGGGAAATTAAGGAACACTACCCCAACCTACATGCTCCACTCAGAAAGCTTCAACATACAAGCTTTAACAAAAGAAAATTCAAAGAACTTAGCGAAGAAGGCTTTGGTGTATTTAACACAATACGTTGAAATGAAGGAAAGCTTATTTATTGATATCCCCGATAAGCTACAAATATGTACATATACATGAGTCAAAATAAGCACACAAGAGGGAGCCTTCACAAAGGTTGCTTAGGAGAAGTCTCAGCAGTCGGTAGAGCCCCAGAAAGAGAAGGCACCGGAGGGGGATCATTTGGAGCCTCAGTACTGGACAGAACCCTAGAAGGAGGAGGCATCAGAGGTTGATCATTTGGAGCTTCATTACGCGGTACAGCCCCAGAAGACGAAGGCAATAAATGCCTTTGGAACAAACCCACAAATCTCTGATGATCAAGTAAAACCTGACCATCAGTTTCCTTCATCTGGTCAAGCTTCCTCTTCATGTTTGTAGCATAGTCATGTGCGAGCCGGTGCAACTGTTTATTCTCATGCTTGAGCCCTCTAATCTCCTGTTTGAGACTCATCACTTCAGCCGCCAATGATTCAACTTGGCGGGTTCGAGCAAATAGGCGTTGGGCCATATTAGACACAGAACCTGCACACTGAACACTGAGAGCCAGCGAATCCTTAACAGCTAACTCATCAGACCGTTTGGAAAGTAGTCTGTTATCTTTGGGAGTGAGAAGGTTCCTGGCCACCACCGCAGCGGTCATATCATTCTTCATCACGGAATCCCCAACGGTAAGAGGACCAGTAGGGGAGACGAAGGATGGGCGCCATATGTTGTCTGGAGAAGGCGGGGCTGCCTCTTCAACAAGGTTCAAGTCAAAACGACGGTCGGAGGGGCCAGACATTTTCAAAGGTGTTGAAGAGAGAAGAGGTCGGACAAATCAAGATCTTAGAAGTGCAAGAATGAAGCTTCTACTGGTGGAGATTCAAGTGTGCTTTGGAACTTAATGCCAGCCCCTATAAAAATCTGCACTCGACGAAGCTTCAGAAATCGAAGAGGCGCCTGCTCAGAAATCGAAGAGGCGTTTGCTTTCTCAAAAGCTGGGCTGCTTAGAGATCACGAGGGTTGATCTCAGAAATCGAAGAGGCGTTTGCTTTCTCAAAAGTTGGGCTGCTCAAAGACCACGAAGGCCGATCTCAAAAATCGAAGAGGCGCTCGCTTTCTCAAAAGCTGGGCTCCCCAGAGACCACGAGGGCCGATCTCAGAAATCGAAGAGGCACCTACTTTTCCAGCCTTTTCCAGCCTTGTCAGCACCTGTCACACGCACACTCAGTTTTGCGGAAATTATGGGCATTCTGTCAAAGACTTCTGGGGAAGTAGAAAACACATGAATCTTACTGTTCAATCACCCACTTCCCACACGCAACAATAGCTCATGGGTACCACAGATAACTTTGCCAAAGTTCTCTGCCAAAGTTGAGCACGTGAAGCTTGCAGCTCCCACTACATCGCTCTGACCAAGAAGGGTAAAAGAATAGCAAAGAAACAGCACTAACAAAGTTTAGACCCATAAATTTTGAAGGTCTAGCTACCATATTATTACCCACAAGGGTAAAGGAACAGTACCACTGCTGGATAATTGGAAAGTCCCTGTGTGTCAACCTCTGTGCTTCGTGGCAAGGTAGACTAGCAAACATGCCCAACCTTTACTCACATTCGAGAAAACACTCCCAATAAGATTGCTTGCTCCAAAATCGAAGAGGCACCGTCCTCCGAATCTCGAGAGCCAGACTCCCAACATGACTACTTTCTTAAAAATCGAAGAGAGGGTAAAGGAACAGTACCATTGCTGGATAATTGGAAAGTCCCTGTGTGTCAACCTCTGTGCTTCGTGGCAAGGTAGACTAGCAAACATGCCCAACCTTTACTCACATTCGAGAAAACACTCCCAACAAGATTGCTTGCTCCAAAATCGAAGAGGCACCGCCCTCCGAATCTCGAGAGCCAGACTCCCAACATGATTACTTTCTCAAAAATCGAAGAGACACTGCTCCCCGAATCTCGAGAGCCAGACCCCCAGCATGATTGCTTTCTCAAAAATCGATGAGGCATCGTTCTCCGAATCAATCGAAGAGGCGCTCGCTTTCTCAAAAGCTGGGCTGCTCAGAGACCACGAGGGCCGATCTCAGAAATCGAAGAGGCACCTACTTTTCTAGCCTTGTCAGCACCTGTCACACGCACACTCAGCTTTGCAGAAATTATGGGCATTCTGTCGAAGACTTCTGGTGAAGTAGAAAGCACATGAATCTTACTGTTCAATCACCCACTTCCCACACGCAACAATAGCTCATGGGTACCACAAATAACTTTGCCAAAGTTCTCTGCCAAAGTTGAGCACGTGAAGCTTGCAGCTCCCACTACATCGCTCTGACCAAGAAAGGTAAAAGAATAGCAAAGAAACAGCACTAACAAAAGTTTAGACACATAAATTTTGAAGGTCTAGCTACCATATTATTACCCACAACTGTAAAGGAACAGTACCACTGCTGGATAATTGGAAAGTCCCTGTGTGTCAACCTCTGTGCTTCGTGGCAAGGTAGACTAGCAAACATGCCCAACCTTTACTCACATTCGAGAAAAACACTCCCAATAAGATTGCTTGCTCCAAAATCGAAGAGGCACCGTCCTCCGAATCTCGAGAGCCAGACTCCCAACATGACTACTTTCTCAAAATCGAAGAGAGGGTAAAGGAACAGTACCATTGCTGGATAATTGGAAAGTCCCTGTGTGTCAACCTTTGTGCTTCGTGGCAAGGTAGACTAGCAAACATGCCCAACCTTTACTCACATTCGAGACAACACTCCCAACAAGATTGCTTGCTCCAAAATCGAAGAGGCACCACCCTCCGAATCTCGAGAGCCAGACTCCCAACATGATTACTTCCTCAAAAATCGAAGAGACACTGCTCTCCGAATCTCGAGAGTCATACCCCCAGCATGATTGCTTTCTCAAAAATCGAAGAGGCATCGTTCTCCGAATCTCGAGAGCCAGATACCACAGACCACTTTTTCAAAGTGCTCTGACAGAGTTAAAACATGTGAAACTGGCAGCTCCCACTACCGTGCTATGACCAAGCAGGGTAAAGGAATAGCATTACTACTTGTTGTTAGGGAGACTCCTATATATGTCGACCTCCATCCCCAACGGACAGGCAGACCTGCAAAAATGCTCAACCCTTCATCATATCTGAGAGGGCACTCCCAACGAAGCCTTTCGAAATATTCAGCTTTCTTTCCCCCCGATAATACCTCTGCAAACAAGCTATACTAGAGCAAGAATATCTCATATCATCAGGGTTAAAAGCAAGAGTATCCCATATCATGCTTTTTCCCTGTCTTTTCTTTTTGGCCTTGTTTTTACCTGCAAGACAAGGAGAAAGAGAGCAATCAGTCAGCACTTGGAATCAAGCTTCCAGCCAGGAACTGACTGCCTGGAACCCCTTACCTGATTACTTACCTGGCATTGCTCTCGAGTACTCATCTTCAACATCTTATGTTTCCAGGGAAGATTCCGCATCTGCTTGAGGAACAGATAGGGCAAGTGCGAAGGATACAAGGAAGCATGTGGAGACAAGCGTAACAGCACACGTGCCGATACATTCATTACTCTGTCAAAAGCAAAAGTATCCCATATCAGCAGGGTGGAACGTACTCTAGATTTGATGGACTTGTTTTGACCCTCAAATTCTTCAGTCGGCCTTATACTCTGGAGGAAACCAGAAAACCCTCCAGCTCAGTTCAAGAATAAGCCTGTGGAAAGTTACTTCTTCAAAAGCAAAAGTATCTCATATCATCTCTTCTCATTTTTCTTCTCTTTATCCTTCATGCTGCTGCAAGATGGGGAGAAGGTGAACAATCAGTCGGAGCTCTGATTGCTTACCTTGTCTGTCACCTCTTTTCAGCAGACCCCCTAGCTCGGCGACTTGGGGGACTCCTACTACTACATGGTTTGTATCGCGCTTGACCAAGGCTGAAACTACAAGTAAGCTTCAAGTGAAATTGATATATTACCTTGTGCATCTCCACCAGTTAAAGATACCACCCCTGGATGGAGGAAGAGTACTTCCAGAGAAGATGCCACATCTACCTATGAGACAGATAAGGCAAGTCAAGACGACACCACACTCCGATACTTAGAAGTTTCGTGATTACGAGATCATTCTCCCACAATATTTCCTAATGTCATTTGTACTAAATCATTCACTTGTACTCACTAAATGAGAGCTTGAACCTATGTACTTGTGTAAACCCTTCACAATTAATGAGAACTCTTCTATTCCGTGGACGTAGCCAATCTGGGTGAACCACGTACATCTTGTGTTTGCTTTCCTATCTCTATCCATTTATATATACTTATCCACACTAATGACCGGAGCAATCTAGCGAAGATCACAAAAAGCGATCGTTTTTGCTACCTAGGATCTATCTTGCAAGAGTACGGAGAATTAGATGGAGATCTCAACCATAGAATACGAGCTGGATGGATGGAAGAGTGCATCCGGCGTGTTGACCGTCGTAGGCCACTGAAGCTCAAGGGAAAATTTTATAGGACGGCAATAAGGCTAGCGATGTTGTATGGCACAGAATGTTGGGTGGTGAAGCATCAACACGTACACAAAATGGGTGTAGCGGAGATGAGGATGCTTCGTGGGATGTGTGGGCACACGAGAAAGGATAAGATTGGGAATGAGGATATCCGAGGTAAAGTAGGAGTAGCCGAAATTGTAGGAAAGATGAGAGAAAATCGGCTCCGGTGATTTTGAACATGTGCAAAGAAGGCCGACTGACGCTCCGGTTCGAAGATGTGACTACGGGACAGAGGTTCAGGGCCGAAGGGGTAGAGGAAGACTTATGACAACTTTGGAAGAGACTCTAAGAAAAGACTTAGAGTACTTGGATCTAACGGAGGACATGACACAAAACCGAGCGCAATGGCGTTCTAGGATTCATATAGCCGACCCCACTTAGTGGGAAAAGGCTTTGTTGTTGTTGTTGTTGTTGTTGTTGATGTATTGTATCATTTTTCCGACAAAAAATTTAGAGTTATAACTTATAATTAATGCTTATCATAGCAGATAATCTCTACTAATTAATAAAACACTCATTGTCAATCAAATCCTATGAAATTACCAGTTCAACCCTCTAATTAAAACAGAACATAAATAAAAAATATAAGGCAGAAATGTAATTTCACACAATCAAATTTTTTTTTTCAAAACCTCACCTACATGTTAAAAAAAAAAAAAACTTCCTACTCCCACATTCTCTCTCTTTCTTTATCTTTCTATTTTAAAAACAAAAATAAAAAGTGTGTTTATAAAACAAAACTCTCATAATTGACCAAAAAAAAAAAAAAAAAAACTCTCATAAATTAAAATTAATAAAAGTAAAGGAAATGGGCCCCATCGGTATTTGCTATCTCGTGTAGGACAACAGGACACGAGAGCAACACGCGCCACTCTCCACTGTGTAGTGCTCCCATCGTCTTCTTGTTCCTCCTCTCCCACCTCCTCTTCCAATATTCCCACCAAACCCTAAAAATTGAAAAGGGTTTTTTGTATTTTAATCTATCTGCATATTTAACGGAGTTTATTTGTTGGTTGATTTGGGGAAAATTAGAAAATAGAAAGCACGACTGGCACAATGGGTCAGGCGCTGCGCCGAGCTGCTGGAAGAACGCGACCCTCTTCGACCGTCGAAACGGCGTCGTCCAAACCGAAGACCGTCGTCGTCGATAAGCGGCCTCCTCTGGTTCCCCCCGAACGGGCGGAGATCTCCAAGACCGGCGGCGCTATTGATTCTGGTACATAAAAGTTGCCGCCTTTCTTTTGTCTATTGCCTTTTCTCGCACATTTTTCCTCAGCTCAGTTCAGTTAATTTACGGCGTCGTTTCGAATGTGGTTTGTTGGTTTCAGATGGCAGTGCAGGAACAGGAGGAGCCGTGGAAGCAGTCGAAAATGTGCTCGAAGAACGAGATCCAAATTACGACGCCATGCTCAATCAAATGGTGGGTAGAATCAAAGCAAAGCCCGGAGGCAAATTTGAGATGGGCGAGGTCAGTTTTTCGAAGTTTGGTTTTTTCATTTCGTTTCGCCGTTTGGGAATAACGTAGAAAGCACTTCCGCTCATAAGCACTTTTAGCAAATAAACTAGCTAGCCACGGTTTGAATTTAAGACATTGTATTGTACTGTTGTAAATGTGTATTTTGGGATCATTGTACAGGCAAATGTGGTGGACAAGTATAAGAGGCCTCTACCTAAACTGAGGGATACGAAGCCAGATTCCGGGAGTTATGAGGAGAGGCCTGCTCCGCCGGGAACTCTGAATGTGGCACAGCTGCGCCACATTATTCTGCTGCATCAGGGCAAGGCCGAGGATCACAATGGCCGCATGGAGCCGGACCAAATTGCTGAGAAGTTCCGGGTTGATGTTGCTGAGGTTCGGAGGATCTTGCAGTTTGTAGCACTGCCTCCGGAGGATGGCAGTGGCAAACAGAACAACAATCGCTGAAGAAGGCACAAATAGATAGCTTCTATCGATACTCCCCTTCACTACTAATTGGATTTTTCGTTGAATAACGTTGGCTCGCATACAAGTTTGAATGTGAATCCTGTGATTTGGAGATTTTATACATTTCCGAAATCTGTAACATGTCGGAAATTTTGTACCGAGTGTTTGAGGCATTTTGATTGCAACACAACTGAGAATCTGTAACATGTCGGAGAAATTCATGTTTAGTTGTGGTTATGGGATTTATAAGTCCATTCTGTTTCGAGATATGAGTGCGAACGTAACGGTACTTCGACCACAAAAATATGTAGAGGATGTAAATACGGTAACCAGATTTTTTCCAAGAGAGGAGACGATAATATCATTTGAAACATGCTGATACAAAAATTTATGGTGCTCTAAATCTCAACTTCTATCTTCAAACATTTTGCTGTCTAGTTACAATCTTATGGCCTGTAAGGGCGGCTAAAATAGGGTCCCTCCTTTCGGTTCCTTTGACGAGGGTTTTCTAAGGTTTCCAAGGACAAAAGAATCTCATCATGCAAAAATAATATTTGAAACTATTAGGGAACAGTTAGATTCAAGTCAATCTGGACTCTAACCAATCTGATGTATATTCATATGCCACAAATGTCACTGCACCGGCAGGTGCAGCTTTGACGGTTGATGGGACTATTCCCTTATAGAGACCAGCCCAGCCCTCCATCTGCAATATTCTTCGCAAGGCGTCATACATGTTGCTATAAGCACGGTGCTCTACTGGTTTCCCATATCTTGGGTGCCTCTGTAGTCCTTCAACCTGCAAGGGGCGGGAAAACAGGATTCATATGACCAACCATCATTGCATTGACATGGAAGCATTTTCATTCACATTTTTCTTCCCTTGTATTCATGCGGAAAGATGGTTAAATAACACACTAGAGTCCAGATGAACTGAAATTTCCAGTAATGCTAGTGGAGCTCGGGACGTTTAAATATCTACCTGGAATCTTTTCTTGACCACATCAAGTGGATGACAGACAAGTTTGGCACATGTCCCGGCTGCTATACCACAGAGGAAAAGCTGAAAGCTCGAGAGACCATCTTCTCTACCGTGCGGGTTTATATTAGAGGATCTGTACCGGTTCCACGCCTAAAATGGACACAATAAAATGTGAGATCACGTACTTTTTTCAGATATGAATTGCATTTCTCAATCCAAGAAAACCTTCTCACAACACACAAACATATATTGGAAGGACAATTGTATCCAATTCACTTCCAACAAAAGATCTTGCTCTTTGCTGGGTGTGGGCCCTTTTCTTTGATTATTTCAATTCACATATCTAAACATGTCAGGTTATTTTTACACAAGCGAGTGGGGGAGGGGAAAACTGAACCTAGGACCTCAAGTGCAGGGGTGAATGGTCTAAACTACTTGAGCTACAAGCCCCCTGCAAAACTAGCCAATGTGGTTCAATTCCCTGTGAGACCACATGACAGATATTTTCAACCAAAACAACTATATATTGATTTCCAAAACTGACGGAAATCTTCCCATCATGAGACAGAGAAATACAAATATTTAGGTAAAAACACAAAAAAAGTAAATGATAGAGCAGAACCAGAAGCTTACCATGGTCCAGCGCTTAAACGTGTCATAGGTACCAAATTGCAAGCCTGCATAGGGTATAATCTCAACAAGTGTTGGCGACAGTCCAGCATACAACCCTCGAAAGCCACGATTTTTAACTATTTCAACCAACGCAGACCTCATATTTGGATACACCTAAATGAAGAACAATGTGAGTTAGGCTCTATTATGCCAAAGAACTCTTCACAAATTGGTGTTTATGCAGAAACTAATTCTAAAGATGGCCTGATAAAATTCAACATTAATTTATTAGTATATTAAGCATTTCAAAGCTACCGATTACATAAAGGATAGCTTATGCTGTCAGATGCATAACTTTTGTAACTTTAAAGAATTTTATGAAGAATAACATGGATCTAACATTGATTCCTACTCCTCAGACTAGTATAGCTATACATGGCGCAGAACAGTTTGAAAGTTAATTTACAATCACACGCACGCACCACACCAAAAAGTCAACCCATGTACCTATACCTTAGGTTCGCCCTGTGAAGCTAATAAGGTTCTTAGAAGATCAAATGGATATGAGCCGACAGTAGCTGCACAACCCGCTAATGCTCCGCTGACGTAAGACAAATAGGGGCTCAAATGAATGTGATCCTCTGCATCAGAGCAAACAATGATCAGGACATACAAGAAATTTGAGGTATTAGAAAAAAAAAACACATCCAAAGTGGTCATAGCTCTAAAGTCGTAAACATTACATATAGAGTACTTAAACTGAACATGGTACCTCTATCAGCAAAATCCTCATTGCAAAATTCAAATAAACAACAGAGCAATAAACCTAGACTTTTATTAGAGATGGACATTACAATCTGACATCCAGCTTACAACCCAAGTTCCTTTAGCACAAATTCAGGTCTTGATAACCAATTTGAAAGAGAATTTAAGAGAAATAAAGAAGTCAAAGTCAAATGTCCTACGCTGAAGCTACTGGAGCTACAAATAATGAAAGAAGAATCAGAAGATCAAACCATATTCAATTTATACCTTTACTTAAAAGAAGCCACATAATACAACTTTTAATTCAGAGTTCAGACCTATGTTTCATGGACACAAACATAGATTTCAGATGCAGGCAGGTGTCCAACTGTGTTTGCCTATTTTCCAAGGGTTTTAAACAAATATAGGGTCCGAGTTGTCATACCCTTAAATGTATCAAGTCCTATTGAAATGAGCGCGTAAGTGAAATAAAGAGTGCACATAAGGACTATTCTCAAAGTACCTGTTTTGGAAGAACCAGCAGCAAATGTTTTCAACTTGTGTAACACCGTAAATTGTATCGCAGTATACGGCATAACCATAAGTAAAGCTGGGACATTTCCACGCCAAAAACCCTGCCATAAGAAATTCTCATAATAAGATCTCGGGAAAATTTTAATGTTCTTGCAAAACTGAACCATAAAAAACCACCAGAAATGGCTTCTACAGAATGCCACAAGAAAAACTAAATAGTAATTTACATTCTCCGTGAACATAAATTGTGTCACTGTACCCGTAAGCCTTCCTCTCTGAAGATATCCCTTGTTGCTTGAAACATCCCAGTATATTTTGATGGTTCAGACAAATTTCTTCGAACCAAAGCCCATGACGTCGTGGGCTCGAGTTGAACCTATCAACCAAAACAAATACAAAGATTTTTCATTCCACCACCAGCCTTTAAGATGCATATGCAGATAAGCATCATGCATAAAACCCAAACACCGAATCGATAAACATTCTCAAAACCCACGAAATTTACGCAACAACAAAAACAAACACGATTTCACACCAAGTCAATACATGTAGGAATCCATTAAACTTGAAAACAATAACAATTCATATCATTACTTGTACTGTACTGTAAGAATGTTATGAATTTTCTACATTGGAAAAAAATGCAAAGCTCAGAAATTGCAAAAACTTACAAACTTCACCACGATGTCAATAAAATTTCGCAGTCTAACCCCATTACAGATAAAGATAAAGGCAAAAATTTCAAAACTTTCACGAACCTGGAATCTAATTTTAATAACATCTAGCGGCGAAGTAACCGTTCGCGATATTCCGCCGGCGATTAAACCTGCCGTTGTATCAATGACGGCTCGCTTGAGCTGCCCCTTCTCTTCCATTGCCAAAAGAAATCCCCCTCGCGAACAAAGCTGAAGCAGATATATCACCTGAAAACGATGCCGTTCAATTCAATTCAGAACAAAAGATCAAAAATTGACGATCACATTAACGGATTAGCAAAATCCGATAAGGGTTCAGACGATTAGGGTTCCTCCAACGGTGAAATACTGGAAATTCGACTTGCAGAAAGCAGAAAGGTAGTGCAATGAGAGGGAGAGGAACCGACCTGGAGAGGGCAGGTGGGACAATGGAGGAGAGAGAAAGCGCCGCCATTGAATTGGGGGGTTTTGCCGCCTTATTGGATTGAGTAAGACCGCTTCGGCGACTTGTAAGAAGAAGAAGAAGAAGGAGGTGGGGGGCGTTTAATAACGTTTAAGGGGCGTTAATTGTGGGGCAGCCTAGATAATCGGGGTTAATGGAGCGCTGCTGTTTAATTCACGGAAATGTTCCCGTACGTCAATAGTGGGAATGGTCCTTTTTGTGAATAGAAGATAATTTTTTTTTAAATTTTTTCCTTTTTCTTTTGTGTCCTGTAAAGTAGAATGAGGTCACATCATCACCCAAATCTCATGGAAAAGCATCTTAGTCGGATCATTTTCTTAGGGTTATTAGGGATTCTGTAATCTCATCCGTTTATCGTATATTGTGTGATCAGAAATCATTTCAAAATTTAAAATTAAGTATGAATAGTACTTGACGAAAACTGATCGTACGATATACGATGAACAAGTGAAATCATGAGATCACTAGGATCTCTAGGAAAAGAATCCGGTGAGGATCCTTTTCCCAAATCTCATGCCATGACACTATAGCCCAAGACATGAATGTGTTCCACGTTTTGTTAATATTAATTTGTTTTAGTTAATATAATGATGTTGATGAATTACACGATGATAATTAGAAGTAGTTAAAAAGACTCTGTGAGTTTTCTTGATATTTGAAAGAGTGATTGCCGTGACAAAGCCACTAAATATTTCTCTTTTTTTATAAAGAAAAGAAAAAATCTTACAATAAGTATGCTATAAGATGTTAGAGATAGAGTCATTTAGGTGAATTTGATACAATACTTGTCTCCCTACTTTTTAGTCTCTCATTGTTGCTTGCTTACATAATTCCTTTTAAGGTTCTAGGTGTTAAAATTGGCATCAATTTAGGTTCAATTCTTGCTAACTCGGTCGGTCGTTGGTGCATTTCAAAACACTCGTGTCTTCTATTTATATAGTACTAGCATATGGGCACACACAAAGTGTGTGAGAAATTTTTTTACTTTTGTTTTTGAAATAGAAGGAGAGAGGAAGAGAGTGATAAAGAATGTGGGAGTGGGAAGCTTTTTTTGGTTTTTTGTTTTTTTAATTAGAGATATGTTAGGATTACATGTAGATGAGACTTTGAAAAGAAAAAAAAACAACAAAATTTGGTTTTGTGAAATTTCATTTATGTCTCATATTTCTTATTCATGTTCTGTTTTAATTAGAGGATTAAACTAGTAATTTCATAAGTTTTTAGTTGACAATGAGTGTTTTATTCATTAGTATAGATATCTTATGACTTTAGTTTTATTAGTCTAATAAAAATCACGAGTTCAAAGGGTCAATGGGAGGGATTTTCATGTGTTGTTTTATTTTTAATAACGTCACTTTATAGACAAATATTGTACATCCAATAATTTATTTTTTGTGCAAGTACCATATGAACTTGTAAGCATGTGCAATAAATATCACTTGAACTTTGAGTTTTTATATTTTACCACATGAATTTTCTTAATTGTTGGAATCTACCACCTAGATTACTTTCCATCTATTTTGCTATTAAAACATGTCTTTGTAGGGCTCTAAAATTGGGGGCTATATAGCCCCAATTCAGAAATTCCCTCATAAAGAGTTTGAAAAATTAATATCTGAATAAATTAAGATGAACCACACACCCACTTGCTGATCTACCAAAAAAAAATTGAAAACTCAATATAAATGAAAGACTATATTTTTGCATAATTTTCACTTCAATTCTTCAACAACCCTTTCCAAAATCAACTTCTCCATTCCTCTTCATGACTTGACTCCAATGCCGCTATAAAAAAAAAAAAAAAAAAAACCTTTTGGCTTTGGACAAATTGATTCCAACGAGCCCTAGGGAGTGAATTGACAAAAATATCTCTCCACGTGAGGGGCACATGACATGTTTTAACAGAAAAATAAAATAACTTAGGTCGTAAATTCCAACAATTAAGAGAGTCCAATGGTAAAAGTTAAAAATTGAAAATTCAGTTGATATTAGAGCAAGTCCAGTGTATCAAGACCTCCTAGGGCAACTTCCTATTGAATAGCCTCCAGTGAACAGTAATTGCCTTTAATGAACAGTAATTTCCCTTAACTGAATAGCTATGGCAATAGGCAATAAAATATTAGTATTTTTTATTTTTAAAAATAATAAAAATAATTTTATTTGTAATTTCGGATAGGATTTTTAATCGGTCTCGTTGTACCACGTGGAATTAAATAAGAAATTACAACCCAAAGTATTTGAGAAAATATAAAATTGTGGTGTAAGTTGGAAGATAGTGATAACATATTTATAGAAAAATTAAATCAATTTTTTTAAATTTTTTTAATTTTGTTCGGATTTTTTTTATTAATTTTTTACATTTTTTAATTTTTTATTAATTTTATAACGTGGCCGACGTCACCATGACGTTAGCCTTGCATCAACTCGTCTCAGGCTCTTGGGCTGTGGATTCCCAACTCCCCTCTCACTTGGGCCTCCCCCGAGCCCAATCGCCCGTATAGGCTGGAGTAAGGGAGGGAGGCAATTGCAATTAAATGGTCCCCGGTCCATCGGGCCATCACCCCCGCTGGACTTGCTCTTAACACACATGCTTGCAGGTTCAGGTGGTACTTGTGCAAAAATATGCCCTTTAGAAAAATAAGAAATCCAAATGACTTAACAATGTGCAAAATATTTCACAATTGAAAATCAATGAAAGATTGACTAGTGAATAGATGAAGAGTTTTTAAAGTACTTTTCTAAAAGATTTACAACTATAGGGATGTTTTTCTAATCAATTAAATGGTGGGAGGGAGTTCAGAGATTAATGGATGGCTTGGAACAAGTAGACGGAACATGAGAGGGATGGGAGTATGATGGTTATTTAACATGTTACCAATAAAACATATCAATGCACAGCAGAAGAAATGTGTTTGAATGTATGAACTCAACTTATGAATCGATGAATGAGCCTACTTATTGAATATAAACTGTTACATAAGTGATTCAGTCACAAGGGAGAACTATCTCCAATAAGTACAAGGATAAATACTTGTGATAACAATAGGAAGTTTGAACTAATAGACCTAGGACTGGTTTGGTATTACTGTGCTTTGAAAAAAAGCTGCTTCTGTTATGCTGTGAAATAAATAGCTGTGAAATAAAGCAGCAAAGTGTTTGGTAAATTTTTTTTGTAAAAGTGCTTTTGAAAAAAAAAAAAAGCAATATGATAGTGTTTGGTAAACTTTTATGTAAAATAGCTGTGATTGTATGAAATGACCAAAATGGTATAATACTAGATGTGCTATGACAAGCCATGACGTCGTTCGCTGGCAACCTTTTCACCTTCGTCTTCCCCTTCCTCCTTATCTTCTCATTTCGCACGGTCGTCAAAAATAGAACCCACCTCCTCACCTCCTTTGTCGACCGCGACCCTTCTATAAAATCCCTCATCTCCTGCCTCGACCTCGCTAGCGCCGGCAATACCAACCACCGCTTTCCTAGATCTCCAGCCAAGTCCCCATCTTCGATCTCTCTCTGCCTCCGACACCGCCCATTTCTTCACCTCACCCGCGTCGGAACCTTAGACGACGATTTCTTCTCCAGCGATGACGACGATGCTCGCTCCCTCTTCGGCCCCAATCAGATCGCCCCAATCATCATTTTCTCCTCTTCCTCTCACTCCACCTCCAAATTAGGGTTTAATGGAACTTACGGGACTAGGGTTTCTGAAATTGTGCACTCCAGCCTCACGTTTAAGGCTGAGAAATTCACCATTTCTGATGACAGAGCTAGAGGCAGAGATGGCGACAGAGAAAGCAATGAAGAAGAGGAGAAATGCGGCGATGAAGAAATGGACGATTAGGCCGTTGATTTGCAATTCTTGATCAACGAATTAGAGTTGGGTCACTGGGACGTGGCGACGTTGTTCTTTCTCTTGAAAGTGTGAAGAATCAGGAGAAACTTTGAAATAAGCCACTTTTTGAAGTTGCTTTTTGTAGCTTCCACTTTTTAGCTTTTTTTTCGTCTGAAACTTTGAAAAAAAAGCTGGTTTGGGGTGTTTACCAAACACCAAAAACTTTCCCAGCTTTTTTTCATACCATCTTTTTATAAAATCACCTCAACCCCAAACCATACCCTAATCTGATGAGGAGTTTGAGTTGTAGTCGAACTGTGTTGCAGTTGAGGAAAGTGGGAAGGCAGCAACGTTTAAAATTGGGTAATCTGACTTGGCTTATCACGTCTTCGCAAGCTAAGCGGGCCTTAGGCGAATGGGAAAGTTAGAAATTAAGGAGGCAAAACATGAAAATGATAGGCCCCTTGTAAGAAGATCAGTAAGCTGTTGATTAGTTGAAGCCACATATAGAACGACGATTTCTTTACGAGTGACCTTTTCATGAATGTAGTGGTAATCCACTTAAACATGACTCATTCGAGCTTGATAAACTGGAATTGAGGCTACAGCAATGACACTTGTATTATCCCACCACAATCATGGATGTGCAAGAGAAATATATATGCAGGTCACAGAATATGTTTCGAAACCAAGGCAATGCTGCAGATGTGTGAGCGAGTTGACGATAATCTGCTTGAGTGCTAGACCAATAAACTCCGCATTATTTCATGTCAATAAACTCCACGTTATTTCATGTCACCAAGATGTCAAAGAAGGTAAACAAAGGAATAATCTACGGTGGATCGATGCGATGAAACCCAAATCTTCTAGGTGATGAGAAAAACATTGAAACTAGGCACGATTGGCTATTTGAGACCATAGAGAGAACAACGAAGTTTACATATGTGTGTGGGATATTATGGGTCGACAAAACCTGATGGTTGACGCATATAGACCTCTTCAGCCGAATGACCCTGAAGAAATGCATTTTGAACGTCCAATTGGTGAATAGGCCAATTAAAATGGATTGCAGTTGAGAGAATAAAAAGTTGAATAATAGAATGAGTGATGATTGGAATAAAGGTTTCCCTATAATCTATACCATCTTGTTTGATGGAAACCATTTGCAACCAGTCAAGCTTTAAAGCATTCGATGGAATCATCAGACATGTGTTTAATCCTGTAGACCCATTTGTTTGGAAGATTATTTAAATGAGGTTGAGACGAGACAAGGGTCCATGTACCTGTCCGTTGTAGGGCATTAAATTCTTCAGCCATTGCCTGACACCACGATGAATGTTTATTTACCTAACTAAGACATGTAGGTTCAACAAAATTATCATGAACATTAGCAACACAAGCATACTTGGGAATCCCATATTTGGCACGTGTGATCATAGTATGGGAAGGTTGATGCGCCACCTGAGTTGTGTGAGGGGAATTAATCCCTATATTCGAAAATGGAGGGGTCTGAATGGAGCCTAAAAGGATAGTATAATGAGGGTAAATTGTAAACAATTGAGTTTGTTTTAGGGAAGTTGAGTTTGTTACAAAGTGGTTATAAAAGTTTTTGTAATTAGCTAAATGATTGGTTAGTTAAAGATGTAATGAGTTGTTAGCACAAGTAAGTGAGTCACTAGTATATATATACCAAAGATGTAATCTTATTCTCTTTATGAAATGAAAGCATAACTTTATCATTATGGTATCTCTCGCCTGAGTTTCACAACCTTCGATCCTTTTTTCCCGCTTCCCGCTCAGCTTACTTTTGAAGCTTTAAACCCTAGAAATCCAGCCATGGCGACTTATGGTTCTACTTCTTCTGAATATACTTCTTCAATTCATCCTGTTCCGATGACTTCTTGTCCTAATTCTTCAACATCCTTAGCAATTTCGTCGATTACGATCTAGACTATTGGATCTCTGGTTCCAATTAAGCTCACAATAACGAACTATCTCACCTGGAGTGCTCTGTTTGCTTTGATCTTTCACCTGTACAATCTCACCGGTATCATTGACGGCATGATGCCTGCTCTGCCGAAATTTCTTCTTGATTCGTCTGGTAATCACACTTCTACTTTGAATCCTCAATATGTTACGTGGTTTAAGAATGATCAGAACATTTTCATTTGGATTAGTTCTACACTCTCAGATGCTCTTATTCCATACACTATTGGAGTAAATTCGGCTCGTGAGCTATGGTCGAAATTGGAATCATGCCTCGCAACTGCATCGCAATCACACATTCACAAGCTTTGTTCTTATCTTCGTAACATCACGAAGGGTGATTCTATGGTTGCGATCTATCTTTAACAAATTGAAGAAATTGTTGATGCTCTGAGCTGATTTATGTGATTTTACGTGGTTTGCCCTCTGAGTATGAATCTTTTATCATGCAATTCAGTTTTGGCTTGGTTCTACCATTATTGATAAACTTAATGGTCTTCTTTTGAGCAAAGAGCTTAAGTTAACTACTTGCAAGAAAGCCTCTTCGTCGACACGAATTCAGGCCTTTAATTCTTTTGTTGGTCTTCTTCCCACACCGATTGGTGATTTTGGTTCACATGCATTCTTTACTCAGAGTGGATCTAACTTGAATTCCTATGGTTCTCAACAGCGCGGCAATTTTTCCAACCTTGGGCACTATAATAACCGTGATACTCAGAGGAATTATCAAGGCTTTTAGGGTAATCCAAGATTTAATTGAGGCAATCAAGGTAATCACCAAAACAATCGTGGTTCTCGTCCTCAATATAACAATTCTACCAGAAAGACCTATTGCCAAATTTGTCGCCAAATGGATCATGAAGCTACAGAGTGCCCTCAACGCATGAATCCACATTTTGGCACCAAGAATTCTCAAACTACATACAATGCAACCATTACTCCTACTTGGTTACTTGATTCTGGTGCTAGTTCTTACATGACTAACTCTTGCAATCATCTGCAAAACCTTGAAGCATACAATGGACCTGAACAAGTGTATATCGGAGATGGCAAAGGTTTACCTATACTTAACTCTGGTTCATCTAAACTTGATACTGCTTCTCATTGCTTTGATCTAAAAAATGTTTTGCATGTTCCTCATCTTAAGCAAGATTTGATTTCTGCAAACCAATTTATACTTAATAATTGGTGTTCTATTCATTTGTATCATTTTCACTTCATTGTGAAGGATCTTTCTTCAGAGAAAATGCTATGTATAGGTCATGCGAGAGCTGGATTCTACCCATTTCATGCATCTCTTATTGCTAGAAATCAACAGGCATTTGCAGCATATGCTTAAGCTTCATAGGATACTTGGCATCAACGATTAGGCCATCCTACATTCAAAATACTAAATAAGCTAGCATCTAAGTCCTGTATTCCAGTTTTAAGTTCTTTAAATAAATCTGTGTGCTTTAGGAAAATGTTCAAAGTTGTCTTTTGCTTCTGTTTCTTGTACATCAAGAAAGCTTCTTGAGCTTTTGCACACTGATGTATGAGGTCTTGCACAATTCACTTTTGTCAATAGATATTGATATTACATCATATTTGTTGATGACTATACAAAATATACTTGGTTCTTTCCTATTAAATCCAAGTCTGATGTTTTTGATACATTTGTACAATTCAAAGCTTTGGTGGAAAATTTGTTAAGTTCCAAAATTGTTACTCTGAGCTCTAATTCTGGTGGAGAATTTCTGAGTCTCAAATTCATCAATTATCTTCAATTGCATGGTATTTCACATCAGTTAACCTGCCCTTACACACTAGAACATAATGGTTGTGCTGAGCGCAAGCATATGCATCTAGTTGAAACTGCTAGAACTCTTTTAGCAGCATCCAAGGTACCTAAGTCATACCGGGTTGAAGCTTTTGCCACAACAATCTATTTGATCAACATGATGCCAACAACTATAAAATCATCTAATTGGGAATTATTATTTCATAGATCTCCAGATTACACATCTCTGAAAATATTTGGATGCATATGCTTCCCATGGTTGAAGCTTTACACAACTTCCAAACTTGATCCCAAAAGCAAGGAATGTGTCTTCTAAGGTTATAGTTTGAACCACAAAGGCTACAAGTGTCTTGATCCTCTCACTGGTATAATATACATTTCGAGACATGTGATTTTTTATGAAGCTACTTTTCCCTTTGCTAAAAAAGATATTCTTCAACAATCAAGGTCCAGTTTTAGTTTTTATCCATTGCAGCATCATAATACCATTCATACTGCTAACCTTTCCCACTATATCTCATCCCTCTTCCTCTACACCTTCACCTATATCTTTACCCCCACACTCATCTATCCATACATCCTCATCCATACCAGAGTCTAATCCTGTCTCTATCCCTAGTACCATTGCTAAGTCTTCATTATTTCTCAACACTCATGCTATGCAAACCAGATCAAAGTCTACAATTTTTAAACCTAAAGCTCTTCTAGCAACCAAATATCTTCTCCATTTTGATATATCCCCCGATTATACCCCATCCACTTATCTTCAAGCGTCCAAATACCCTCATTGGAGACAAACAATGCAGAAATAATTTAATACTCTCATTCAAACTGGAACTTGGTCTCTGGTCCCTAACACTTCTTCTCAAAATTTAGTTGGTGCAAAATAGGTGCTTTGAATCAAATGCAAACTTGATGGTACCATTGATAGGTACAAAGCCAGGCTTGTTGCCAAAGGATTTCATCAGCAACAAGGCTTGGACTATACTTAGACCTTTAGTCCAATTGCTAAGCCTGTCACTATTAGGCTTATTCTCACTTTGGCTGCAAAGTTTGATTGGTTTCACAATCAACTTGATGTGAGTAATGCCTTTTTACATGGCAACTTAATTGAATCTGTGTTTATGATACAACCACTTGGGTTTGAAGATCCTACTAAGCCTAATCATGTTTGCCATTTACACAAGTCCTTGTATGGTTTGAAGCAAGCCCCCAGGGCTTGGCATGAGAAGTTCACCACTGCCTTAAAATCTCTTGGTTTCTCAAGTTCACAAAATGATCACTTTCTATTTGTCAAGAAGGATCCAACATTGGTCTTCATATTGGTGTATGTTGATGACATCATTGTCACTGGTCCCAATACTCAACTCTGTTAAGAAATCATCTCTCAGGTCAGTGTCTTATTTTCTGTTAAGGATCTAGGCCCTCTTCATTACTTTCTTGGTATTGAAGTCCAGAGATCATCCTTTGGTATATTCATATCTCAGAACAATTACATCCTAGACCTTCTCACAAAAGCTTATATGGAAGGCTCCAAACATTATGTTACACCTCTTAGTACAACCAAATTGGATCATGAGTCTCCTCTGCTTGATAATCCTGAAGAATATAGGTCATTGGTTAGTGGATTGCATTATTTAATCGGGACTAGGCCAGATTTATCATTTGTAGTGAATTTAGTATGGCAGTTCATGGAGAATCCAAGACAGTCTCATTTTCAGGCAGTCAAGCGCATTCTCATATATCTCAAAGGCACATTGTCTTTTGGTTTATGGTTTCCTAAGTGTTCTAAGCCCCTCACCCTCACTGTTTTCTCAGATGCAGATTGGGCAGGGTGTAGCATTGATCAAAGATCCACTGGTGGATTTTGTGTCTATTTGGAAGACTCTCTTATAAGCTAGAGTGCAAAGAAACAACCAATTATGGCTCGTTCTTCCATCAAGGCTGAATATAGGTCACTTGCTAATACTGCAGCAGAATTGACACGGATTTGTAAGCTTTTGGTTGATGTTGGCCTTGTTCTTCCTTTTCCCTCACAACTTTGGTGTGATAATATTTCTATTTCCTTGCCTAGAAATCCAATTTTCCATGCAAGAACTAAGCAAGTGAAAATTGATTACCACTATATCAGGAAAAAGTGTTCACAAACCAAGTGATTGTTCTATTTGTTTGCACTCAGGATTAGGTTGCAGACATATGTACCAAACTCTCTCTTTGGTTACCTTAGTTAGGTTTGAGGGGGGGGGGGGATAATAAGTGTAAATTGTAAACAATTGAGTTTGTTATAGGGAAGTTGAGTTTGTTACAAAGTGGTTATAACAGTTTTTGTAATTGGCTAAATGATTAGTTAGTTAAAGATGTAATTAGTTGTTAGCACAAGTAAGTGAGTCACTAGTATATATATACCAAAGATGTAATCTTATTCTCTTTATGAAATGAAAGCATAACTTTTTCATTACAGTAGATGAAGATGGGGGAAACTGTGTTTGAAATTGAGGTGGGTAATGATATAGGTGAAGCGGAAATAGTAGGCTGGGATGCAGATAGGGTTGGCAAGGATGAAAATAATTAAGGTTGGTGATGAGACTAGTGGTTGAGGATTATTTCGCTGAAGTGGTGAAGTAGAGTGTGACGGTATATCGAAAAACGTTGTGGGATAACTGTGGGTTGTACTATGCTAGGAGAGAGTAAGGTAAGACCTATATCTATGGTGTCACTTGTAGATGAAATTGGAGGAGTGCAGGTAGTAGTAGAAATATATTCATGATATGGAAAACATTTTCATAAAATGTGATAACTTTTTCATAGACGGATCTAGACTATGATAACTTTGTGATTTAAAGAGTATTTTAAAAAGACTCAATTTTTTTATAGCGAAATTGCAATTTGTTAGAGTTATTACTTTAGTCTAAAGATGGCTTTGAAATTGGCACTATTCAAATAAACAGTCATTTGGGCCGAATTTCATTTTATTTACGAGGCTACCACTGACTCTCTCTGCCGTTGATCATGATGCCCGCGTGTTGATGATCGTGGAAAGGCAGGGTGCGATCGTCACTTTACCATTCTCTTCCTCCCCTCTTTCTCTCTCCCTCAGATCCCATTCTCTTCATCACTCTCTTTCTCTCTCCCTCAGTTTCAATCTGCTCACCTAAAATCCCCAGATCGAACATCCTCCATCTCAAATAAAAAAACCTTCCCTAATCATGGATTTTTGTTGAGGTAATTTGATTGTTTCCTCTTCTGTAATTTGTTTCTGTTAGTTTATTGTTCTTGAATTTTAATTTTTCTGTTTTCCAACTTGGAAGAGTCGACCTTCAGGTGATAAAATCGTGATGTGACCATCGTATTATCTCTCACAGCTCACAACGATGAAATCGCACCACGACCAGTGTCGGGTAAGCTATCGACTACCCCTCCCCATCTTCTTTTTCTTCTTCTACTTCTCCCTGCGCATTCCATTTTGACTGTATGTGTTTTGGATGCATCTTGATTTCCTTAGTATGATTAGACGGTTCGGATGCGCCTAATGAACAAACCTAATTTGCCTCGCGCGTTCAGTCATCACCTTCCTTCGTCTAAAACCTCACACAGAGACAGAGCTCCCCCAAAACCCTAAACGCCCAAAGGTAATTTTGTTTAATTTTTCAATTAGTTTTAATTATCTGACTAATCCCTAGCATAGATTCACTCTCTCTTTACTCTAAATGCGTATAATTTTTTTTTTTAATTTTTTGCAGTATTAATCACGAAGTTACGGAGCTGAAATTGCAAACGCTATCATGGCTCACTTAAAAAATGTAAGCTTGAAATTTTTAGGTTCTGTTTGGTTGTTGAGAAAACTGAATCAAAGAGGTTTTTTTTTTTGTTAATTATCTCGGAAACGTAGTTGATTGTTGTGTTTCTGAAAATTTGAAAACAGAAGAAGGTGTTTGTGAAGTTGGTTTCGACGAAGAAGCAGGCTAATATGGACCATATCAACAACAACAACAACAACAACAACAACAACAACAACAACAACAAAGCCTTTTTCCCACTAAGTGGGGTCGGCTATATGAATCCTAGAACGCCATTGCGCTCGGTTTTGTGTCATGTCCTCCGTTAGATCCAAGTACTCAAGTCTTTTCTTAGGGTCTCTTCCAAAGTTTTCCTAGGTCTTCCTCTACCCCTTCGGCCCTGAACCTCTGTCCCGTACTCCTACTCCTTCTGTGCACATGTCCAAACCACCGGAACCGATTTTCTCTCATATTTCCTTCAATTTTGGCTACTCCTACTTTACCTCGGATATCCTCATTCCCAATCTTATCCTTTATCGTGTGCCCATACATCCCACGAAGCATCCTCATCTCCGCTACACCCATTTTGTGTACGTGTTGATGCTTCACCGCCCAACATTCTGTGCCATACAACATCGCTGGCCTTATTGCCGTCCTATAAAATTTTCCCTTGAGCTTCAGTGGCCTACGACGGTTACACAACACGCCGGATGCACTCTTACACTTCATCCATCCAGCTTGTATTCTATGGTTGAGATCTCCATCTAATTCTCCGTTCTCTTGCAAGATAGATCCTAGGTAGTGAAAACGGTCACTTTTTGTGATCTTCGCTAGATTGCTCCGGTCATTAGTGTGGATAAGTATATAAATGGATAGAGATAGGAAAGCAAACACAAGATGTACGTGGTTCACCCAGATTGGCTACGTCCACGGAATAGAGGAGTTCTCATTAATTGTGAAGGGTTTACACAAGTACATAGGTTCAAGCTCTCCTTTAGTGAGTACAAGTGAATGATTTAGTACAAATGACATTAGGAAATATTGTGAGAGAAAGATCTCGTAACCACGAAACTTCTAAGTACCGGAGTGTGGTATCGTCTTGACTTGCCTTATCTGTCTCATAGGTAGATGTGGCATCTTCTCTGGAAGTACTCTTCCTCCATCCAGGGGTGGTATCTGTAACTGGTGGAGATGCACAAGGTAATGTATCAATTTCACTTGAAGCTTGTAGTTTCAGGCTTGGTCAAGCGCGATACAAACCATGTAGTAGGAGTCCCCCAAGTCGCCGGGCTAGGGGATCTGCTGAAAGAGGTGACATACAAGGTAAGCAATCAGAGCTCCGGCTGATTGTTCACATTCTCCCTATCTTGCAGGCAGCATGAAGGATAAAGAGAAGAAAAATGAGAAGAGATGATATGGGATACTTTTGCTTTTGAAGAAGTAACTTTCCACAGGCTTATTCTTGAACCGGGCTGGAGGGTTTTCTGATTTCCTCCAGAGTATAAGGCCGACTGAAGAATTTGAGGGTCAAAACAAGTCCATCAAATCTAGAGTACGTTCAACCCTGCTGATATGGGATACTTTTGCTTTTGACAGAGTAGTGGATGTATTGGCACGTATGCTGTTACGCTTATCTCTACATGCTTCCTTGTATCCTTCTCACTTGCCCTATCTGTTCCTCAGGCAGATGCGGTATCTTCCCTGGAAGCATAAGATGTTGAAGATGAGTACTCGAGAGCAATGCCAGGTAAGTAATCAGGTAAGGGGTTCCAGGCAGTCAGTTCCTGGCTGGAAGCTTGATTCCAAGTGCTGACTGATTGCTCTCTTTCTCCTTGTCTTGCAGGTAAGAACAAGGTCAAAAGAAAAGACAGGGAAAAAACATGATATGGGATACTCTTGCTTTTAACCTTGATGATATGAGATATTCTTGCTCTAGTATAGCTTGTTTACAGAGGTATTATCAGGGGGAAAGAAAGCTGAATATTTCGAAAGGCTTCGTTGGGAGTGCCCTCTCAGATAAGAGAAAGGGTTGAGCATTTTTGCAGGTCTGCCTGTCCGTTAGGGATGGAGGTCGACATATATAGGAGTCTCCCTAACATCAAGTAATAATGCTATTCCTTTACCCTGCTTGGTCATAGCACGGTAGTGGGAGCTGCCAGCTTCACATGTTTTAACTCTGTCAAAGCACTTTGAAAAAGTGGTCTGTGGTATCTGGAAAGCTGATGTTGCGTGTGAAGATTACAGACAAGCTTTATCCAAGGAGATCCAGCTCTTGAAGTTGGGAAAGTGGTGCCTCTTCGGTTTTCGAACAAGCAATCCTGTCGGGGATCTGGCTCTCGAGATTCGGAGAACGATGCCTCTTCGATTTTTGAGAAAGCAATCCTGCTGGGGATCTGGCTCTCGAGATTCGGAGAGCGGTGTCTCTTCGATTTTTGAGAAAGTAATCATGTTGGGAGTCTGGCTCTCGAGATTCGGAGGGCGGTGCCTCTTCGATTTTGGAGCAAGCAATCTTGTTAGGAGTGTTTTCTCGAATGTGAGTAAAGGTTGGGCATGTTTGCTAGTCTACCTTGCCACGAAGCACAGAGGTTGACACACAGGGACTTTCCAATTATCCAGCAGTGGTACTATTCCTTTACCCTCTCTTCGATTTTTGAGAAAGTAATCATGTTGGGAGTCTGGCTCTCGAGATTCGGAGGGCGGTGCCTCTTCGATGTTGGAGCAAGCAATCTTGTTGGGAGTGTTTTCTCGAATGTGAGTAAAGGTTGGGCATGTTTGCTAGTCTACCTTGCCACGAAGCACAAAGGTTGACACACAGGGACTTTCCAATTATCCAGCAGTGGTACTGTTCCTTTACCCTCTCTTCGATTTTTGAGAAAGTAATCATGTTGGGAGTCTGGCTCTCGAGATTCGGAAGGCGGTGCCTCTTTGATTTTAGAGCAAGCAATCCTGTTGGGAGTGTTTTCTCGAATGTGAGTAAAGGTTGGCATGTTTGCTAGTCTACCTTGCCACAAAGCACAGAGGTTGACACACCGGGACTTTCCAATTATCCAGCAGTGGTACTGTTCCTTTACCCTTGTGGGTAATAATATGGTAGCTAGACCTTCAAAATTTATGTGTCTAAACTTTGTTAGTGTTGTTTCTTTGCAATTCTTTTACCCTTCTTGGTCAGAGCGATGTAGCGGGAGCTGCAAGCTTCACGTGTCTCAACTTTGTCAGAGAACTTTGGCAAAGTTATCTGTGGTACCCATGAGTTACTGTTGCGTATGGGAAGTGGGTGATTGAACAGTACGATTCATGTGCTTTCTACTTCGCCAGAAATCTTCGACCGAATGCCCATAATTTCCGCAAAGCTGAGTATGCGTGTGACAGGTGCTGACAAGGCTGGAAAAGTAGGTGCCTCTTCGATTTCTGAGATCGGCCCTCATGGTCTCTTAACAGCCCAGCTTTTGAGAAAGCAAGCCTCTTCGATTTCTGAGATCGGCCTTCGTGGTCTTTGAGCAGCCCAGCTTTTGAGAAAGCAAACGCCTCTTCGATTTCTGAGATCGACCCTCGTGGTCTCTGAGCAGCCCAGCTTTTGAGAAAGCAAACGCCTCTTCGATTTCTGAGCAGACGCCTCTTCGATTTCTGAAGCTTCGTCGAGTGCAGATTTTTATAGGGGCTAACATTAAGTTCCAAAACACACTTGAATATCCACCAGTAGAAGCTCCATTCTTGCACTTCTAAGATCTTGATTTGTCCGACCTCTTCTCTCTTCAACACCTTTGAAAATGTCTGGCCCCTCCGACCGTCGTTTTGACTTGAACATTGTTGAAGAGGCAGCCCCGCCTTTTCCAGACAACATATGGCGCCCATCCTTCGTCTCCCCTACTGGTCCTCTTACCGTTGGGGATTCCGTGATGAAGAATGATATGACCGCTGCGGTAGTGGCCAGTAACCTTCTCACTCCCAAAGATAATAGACTACTTTCCAAACGGTCTGATGAGTTGGCTGTTAAGGATTCTCTGGCTCTCAGTGTTCAGTGTGCAGGTTCTGTGTCTAATATGGCCCAACGCCTATTTGCTCGAACCCGCCAAGTTGAATCATTGGCGGCTGAAGTGATGAGTCTCAAACAGGAGATTAGAGGGCTCAAGCATGAGAATAAACAGTTGCACCAGCTCGCACATGAGTATGCTACAAACATGAAGAGGAAGCTTGACCAGATGAAGGAATCTGATGGTCAGGTTTTACTTGATCATCAGAGATTTGTGGGTTTGTTCCAAAGGCATTTATTGCATTCGTCTTCTGGGGCTGTACCGCGTAATGAAGCTTCAAATGATCAACCTCTGATGCCTCCTCCTTCTAGGGTTTTGTCCAGTACTGAGGCTCCGAATGATCCCCCTCTGGTGCCTTCTCTTTCTGGGGCTCTACCGACTGCTGAGACTTTTCTTAAGCAACCTTTGTGAAGGCTCCCTCTTGTTTGTTTATTTTGACTCAAGTATATGTACATATTTGTAACTTATCGGGGATATCAATAAATAAGCTTTCCTTCATTTCAACGTATTGTGTTAAATACACCAAAGCCTTCTTCGCTAAGTTCTTTGAATTTTCTTTTGTTGAAGCTTGTATGTTGAAGCTTTGTGAGTGGAGCATGTAGGTTGAGGTAGTGTTCCCTTAATTTCCCGAGTGAGGAAAACTTCTCGGTTGGAGACTTGGAAAATCCAAGTCACTGAGTGGGATCGGCTATATGAATCTTAGAACGCCATTGTGTTCTGTCCTGTGTCATGTCCTTCGTTAGATCCAAGTACTCTAAGTCTTTTTTTAGGGTCTCTTCCAAAGTTTTCCTAGGTCTTCCTCTACCCCTTCGGCCGTGAACCTCTGTCCTATAGTCGTATCTTCTAATCGGAGCGTCAGTAGGCCTTCTTTGCACATGTCCAAACCACCGTAACCGATTTTCTCTCATCTTTCCTTCAATTTCGGCTACTCCTACTTTACCCCGGATATCCTCATTCCTAATCTTATCCTTTCTCGTGTGCCCACACATCCAACGAAGCATCCTCATCTCCGCTACACCCATTTTGTGTACGTGTTGATGCTTCACCGCCCAACATTCTGTGCCATACAGCATCGCCGACCTTATTGCCGTCCTATAAAATTTTCCCTTGAGCTTCAGTGGCATACGGCGGTTACACAACACGCCGGATGCACTCTTCCACTTCATCCATCCAGCTTGTATTCTATGGTTGAGATCTCCATCTATTTCTCCGTTCTTTTGCAAGATAGATCCTAGGTAACGAAAACGGTGGGATAAAATCCCAAGGAGCTTTGTGTTTTCCAGACGCAAGTTGCCTGGTCCTCTGAATCAGCTTCAAGATGATTTGAGGAAACTGATGCTTCCTTACACTGCCCTTAAGCTTAAGGTATGCAAATATTCATTCCGGTCTTAATATGTTTTGCAATGCTTTATGATATTTGATTTGTTTAAATTTTAATTGATTTGAAGAACTCATGAAAATCAGAAGTAAGAATCTGAAGTAAAGATCCGCAATGTTTTTACAGGAGAAGAGGCGGAACAATCTTAGAAACTTTTTGATTGTGGCTGGGCCTATGGGGGTTACACATTTCCTCATGTTGTAAAAAACTCCAACTGCGCCATACCTTAGGGTTGCGAGGGCACCTCAAGGCTCAACGATATTTTCATAAGATATGCAAAGGGTTCCATTTCTATTGTCTTTGTGGGTTTTTAGGGGTGCAGATCCTGATTGACAAGGAAGAATAGAAACGGATATAACAACAGTGAGACCAAATGGGAGATCCAATGAAAAAAAAAATATCAATGGATAAACCGAGGCCTATAGATTCCAATTGCCTTACAACCGCCGCCAGAGAGGTCGGATTGTCCAGAGCGCTGCCTCTTCCTCCAGCAACACCGTTGTGTCAGATGTTAAGCTGCAGCTCCAGGAGGAGGACCACATCAATGGCTTCAATCCCATTTCCACTTTTGCTTCCGGTGAGTATTTTAAGCACTTTTACCAAAAATCTGCTTATTTACTTGGGTTTTGTGGGTTTTATTAAAATTGTATGGTTGTTGTTGTAGCGTAAAAAAGTTTGCATCTTTGAATTGATATTTGGAGCAACATACGGTATTTGGATTTAGGGTTGTATAGAAATTGAGTAATTGAAATTTATTAGATATCCAATGGAAAATTTCCACTTATTAGATATCCAGTTTGATATTTGGCGGGTAAATTTCCATTCTTTGGATTAGGGTGCACAACAATTGATAAGAGGATAAGTCAGAAATGGAGTGATGAAATGTATTAACTTTTATGACTAATTTCCAAAGAAATTGCAATCTGCCAATCTAAAACGTCAGTTATTTAATATCCGGTTTCATTTATAGTATAAAAGGCAATGGATAAGAGAGATGATGGTTAAATTTGTATTTGTTATGTTAACCATTTGAAGTCTAGAATCTTTAAGTTAATATATTTGACGTGCTGCTATAATTCAATTTCTCTTTTATGTGTTCGAGTGTGGTTCGAATTTGCCAGGAATGTGTCCGGTGAATGGGATGGCCATGGAGCAGACTTTACAAGGGAAGGGTGCCCAATAAAACTTCCCGAGAATGTTGTACCTGCAGCTTACAGGGAGTGGGAGGTTACGGTTTTCGATTGGCAGACTCAATGCCCCACTCTTGCTAACCCAGATGAGCACATTCTTTTATACAAGAATATAGAGCTACTTCCTGCTGTTGGATGTGAAGCTAATGCTGCCACTCGATGACTCCAGAGATTGTTGATGATCCATTCCAAACTATGTGAGTTTTCAAGGTAAATAATCACTCACCTTATCCTTTTCCACTTACTAGGATTTTCTTAATTTGAATTTTTTTTCTTCAGTTTGATTCAAATTAGTTTTTTATTTTCCTTTAAATAATTTGGAATTAGGCCTTTTATTTTGTGCGTTTTCTCTGTTATTTCATCCTCAGTTGAAAAGTGGAAGTCCGAACTTATAGCTTAGAGAAAAACCCTTGGTTGAATCAAATACTGGTATGGTCCCTCACATGAGAAAAAAAAAACCAATTTTTTTTTCCTTAAAATTTTTGTTTTTATTATTTTTTTTCCTTCCGCAAATTGTAGTTTTTCTTTGTTGCATTTGTCTGCTACCCTCCACAATGAACGACCTGCTAAAGCTAATGTATTTGGTTTGAAAAGAACAAGACTAATTTTGTCATTAGTATATGCATTTTCACATCAATGTAAACTGACTGATGCAGAAGAGCTAGCCAATTTAACATGAGCGGATATGAGGGAATCTGATTTCAGTGGTTCTACTTTCAATGGTGCATACATGGAGAAAGCTGTCACGTATAAGGCAAACTTTGAGGTAAGAGCTTCGCACTGTACAAATAGATACTAAGATGTGAACGAAGCATAAATAATCTTAGCTACCTATCCTCCAGTTTATGCTTGCATCATGAGATCACCCAAAAGACAAAACCCACCTTTATTGTCAGTTCATTTCCATACAAGTTATCCCGGATTGTTAAGCATTTAGGCCATGCTAAATATGAAGGACTAGATTACACTTGAAGGATTAAGAAAGGGTTGATGTCTAAAGCGTATCCCTAATCTTATCCCCACTAATCCCTTTAAAAATTGTAAGCAGACGTATTGAAATTTATGTATATAACTTTTTTTTAAGAACATATGTAAATTAGAATCATACGTGGGATAACATACTGGTGGTATATGATTGAACGATGCTAAAGGCTAAGTATGAACTTAGACTATGTGCTGAAAGAAAGTTGCTCATTACTTGTGTATAATTTATTTTGTTTGTTCAGGGAAGAGCACTGTGGTGTGTGCTTTGAGTGGGAGTTTGTACCGCAGGGGAAGCTGTTGTACATTCTTGATGGGGACAATGTCAGGCATGGCTTGAATTGCGACCTTAGTTTTAAAGCCGAAAATCGTGCAGAGAACATTTGGAGGATTGGTAGTATGTGTATGCCTCTCTTTAGATTAACTAGACCATCTTTATAGATTAACTATGGCTTTCTGCTTCATTATGTATTCATGAAACTAATCTCTGCAGTTTTTCAATTCATTTGGGGTATTTGTGATTTTGAATGACACTAAAATTATTTATGGGTTATAGGAACCACCGGTTAAGAAAATGGGTCCAAATTCAGAGCTGCATTTTTCTTCCCTCAAAATAAGAAGAAAACATTTCCTCAACTCCATATTTCAGCACCTCAACTCTAAAGCCTTCTATTTCTTTCTGTTTCTTCAGAGCTAATTTACCCATATTTTATTTGTAAAGTGAAAGATTGGATTTCACATGTTTGAGTACTTCCGGTTTTGTACAATACAAACTTGAGCTTATTGATCCAAATGGCTAGAACAGTATACTCAACCAATTTCATATCCTCTTGGCCAAATAAGAGTATAATACTTGCTACTAAGAAAAATACTTCTATAATAGCAATGTGTTGGTGTGTGGCATGCTCTAATTAGAGATATTTTTGGGTTATAATAAGAAAGCCACAAAGAGAGAGAGAGCGTTTGTTTATTTGGATTTGGTTAATGTTTCAATCGTAAATGTGATGATAGAATGAAAGCTGAGGACACACAAATAATAAATGTAGTTTGGAATTTGTAAGTTACAAGCTTATGGAAAGTAAGCTTTTGTAGTTGTTTAATGACATAGTCAAAGAGTTGTCCATCTAATGTTTACTCTACAATGGCTGTCAATGAACACTATAGTCTCATTCCGTGGGAGAAATTTCAAAGTAAGATGTTAATGTCTGAAACAAGCCTATGTTGAAATTTATTTCATCGTTTTGTTTTTTGTATGATATATTTATTGTTGAAATTTTCTTACTGCTTTGTTTTATAAAAGATTCAGGATGGGGATAATTTAGCTTTCATCGATTGGCATCGTTTTTTAAGTTTTGTCTGTGCTTTTGTTTGCAGGATCAACTTGGGAAAGAACAGAGGAGAGCACAAGTATTATCGATTTATTTGCTATAGTATTGTCCCTCTTCCTCTGGCCTCCTGAAGTGTTTCCATTCCAGTGTCACCATCTTTTGTTTCATTCATTTGTAGAATATATTCTTCTTTTTTCTATGCCTTTATTACCTCCTTTTAACTTTGATTATTTGTACTTGATGAGTATTATTAGACCCATTCTCAAAAATTGCATCCCCTGCTTCTTCCTTATGGTCCTTATACTCAAACATGTGCAAGTTTGTATTTTTCTATGGGATTGGACTGTTGGGAACTTAGGTACTTTTACTTTTTATATATTTTTGTTGGGTTTTTTCTTTTTCGGAAAATGAGTATTTGATTAATCGCTTGAGTTGTGCTTTCAAAAGGACTGTTAGAAGTTTTGTGTCAATTTGGTTGTGATGGTAAGATTACTTTATGTAACATTATGTTGTGGCATGTGAGTGTCGAACTTTTTTCTTAATTTAATTTCGGAAAGAAATGCGTTTAACAGTAGTCCTATATGATGAAGTTAGCATCCTTATAAGTTGGGAACCTAAAACAATAGTGGTGTACCCATAAATTCCTAATTTTCTCTGCCTCCTTCCCCTCTACTTGCATCAGTTGTGACTTATTTTCTTTTTTGGTTCTATCTCAGGAGTTTGTTAGGGAGAAAGTTCATGAATGAAAGAAATCTAATCGAGAGGTATTTTCTTTTTGGCACATATCATGAATTATGTTTGGGTGTTTAAACAATATTTGCCTAAAAGTATACTCTGTTTTTAGTGGTATTTCAAATAAGGTAACTTCCCCAAACACTGATATTTTGGTTTTCTATTGGCATGTGTTAAACCAGCCTGATTCAGGTTACAAGGTTGAGGGTTGCGGATTGTTGTCATATTGTGGATAGTTAATCATGTTCAATAACCTTAGTTACTGGGCCATTCACTTAAATTTTGGTTTCGAGTTGTAGAGAGACGGCTTTTCATTCTTTCTCAAAATAAGCTTTCATTACAGCTTCAGTTTCACATCATTCATCACCGGATTTGCTAATATAAGTTTTTATTAAGCTTTCTCAAAATATATTGTTGCTTTGTGATGAATGAGTTATCTTTTGCATATAAGACTTTTTGTTTCTCGATACTAAGTCTAAAATGGAGATTTTTGAGTAAAACGTTGATCCAGTATGAGCGAGTTGTGATTTTGTAGTCTTTATATGTTTCCAGATAAAAGTTAGGATCTGCAGAGATTAAAAAGTGAAAAAGGGCGAAGGAAAGCGATGCTGACTCACGAAAGATGGTTCAAATCTCTGTTGGAGGTACATTGGATTTATGTTTCTGATGTGTTAAGTACATTGTTAGAACTATAGATTTGGATTGAACTCAATGTTGTCCGTGTGTATATTGAAATATGTGTGTATATATAGATATGTGTGTGTATAGATTTATACACAAGGGGAAGATGGATGGATAGGTGTATGCTTAGTCCGTAAAAGAAGAGAAAACGAAAACCACACCAAACAACTCGCATTTAAAGCTCTTTTTCTTTTTTCCTTTTGACATAAATCTCTCTTTGTTAGATTGCTAGGGGGCTGATTCTTTCTCGAATTTGTGGTGCACAAAAAATGGTTTAGTATATGTGAAGGGGATGAGAGAAGGCAGATATGAAAATGTTGTATCAGAGATGATTCCTTTACAGAGTTCGGTGCTTACGTTTGTAGCTTTAAGATCGGTGTGGATGTTTCATAACATTCAAGGATCCTCAATTCCAATGTGTTTCATAACAATGAAGGATCCCCGATTCTACTATCAGCATGGATGTTTCATAACATTGAAGGATCCCCTATTCCAGTGTGGATGTTTCATTGTACAATGTGTTTATATGTTATCTCACTTGAATGTACATAAAAGCAAAATTGCTTATCTTATCGACTTCATTTACTCATGTATCCTCTATTTGTTCATAATTGTGTTGAATTTATTCAACTTAAATGTGTTTTATTCATCCGATTATGCCTGAAACAGTTGGTTCCCGCAGCAACGCGCGAGCTTTTTTTCTAGTATGGACAACGATAGGGAAAAGGGACACCAAAAAACTTTTGAGAAAATCATATTGTGGAGACTTCGAAAATAATTTGTGATATGGAGAATCATGATTTAAAATCTTAGTATAAGCAACCTATTTATAAGATAATTAGTCGTACGAAAAGTCTCAACCCAAAACGATGTAGGCATAGATGCATGAGCAAGAAGAGTAAGTCCAGTCTCCACCAAATGTTTATGTTTACATTTAGTGTATCCATTTTGTTCAAAATGATGTGGACAAGTAAAACAATGATGTATGTCATGATTATCCAGAATTTAAAAAAAAAAATTAGTATTGATATATTCCCCACCACCATAAGTTTGATAAAATTTAATTTCTTGACTGAACATTTATTCCACCAACTTTTTAAATGAAACAAATGTATTAAAGACTTCAGGTTTCAATTGTAAATGGAAAATCCAAGAATAACAAGAGAAATCATCAATAAAAATAACATAATATTTGAATCAATTAATAGATAAAATGGAGATGCCCATACATTAGAGTGAATTAATTCCAATGAAACGGATGACACTTAACTAGATAAAGAAATGTAGTTCCAATGAAAAAGACGACACTAAACTAGATAAAGAAACGGTAACTTATAACTCGTCATAAGGCACAATGACACACATAACAGATTACAGCACCAGAGACTGGCAATTTATTCTTAGCTACTAATAAAAACTTTAAAATAGATTCGAAAGGATGACCTAACCTAGAATGCCAAATTGCATCCGACACACGAGTACCAATGAAAGCAAATACGTTATTATTGTAGCATTTAATACTACATAGCATGGAAGAATCTTCCCTTTTCGTTTGAAGAACTTAAATTTCCGAGTTCAACTTTCTTGAACCTCATCGAAAGATTTAATATTTTGAATTATTGTTAGTTTTATCAAGATATTATCAAGGCCTCCCTTGAGGGTAGGCGAAGTAGGCACCCGCCTAGGGCCCCCACTTCGGAGGGACCCCAAATTAAAAAAAAAAACATATATATATATATATATGTATATATATGTATATATATATATATATATGTATATGTATATATATCTATGTATGTATACATATATATGTATGTATGTTAAAAATATATATTATATATATATATGTGTGTGTGTGTGTGTGTGTGTGTGTGTGTGTGTGTGACAAATAATTCACTCGACATAATTTCACCCTCATTCATTTTTCCAAAAAGGGTTTTAATAATTTGAGTTCGACCCATTCTAGACTATGCGTCTATTAATTACAATCATTCGTTAAAAGGAAAAACCCTTTGATTCTAATATGAATAAATCGTAACTTGGGGATTTTGGTGTTTGATTTTGCAACTACACCTAGGTCAAGCCTTATATTGCCTACGTACCCTCGTTGAGGGATCAAGTCACTCGTAGCTCTTTATGTATTTGTTGGGGCTTGATGCCTTGTGCAGTTTTAGCTCGTGTGGGCGAGGACTTTGAGCTTTGGAGCTTTTGATACCTTGTGCAATTTTAGCTTGTGTGGGTGAGGACTTTGAGCCATTTGAGCAGTTGATGCCTTGTGCTGTTTTAGCTCGTGTAGGCGAGGACTTTGAGCCATTAGAGCATTTGATGCCTTGTGCAGTTTAGGCTTTTGCAGGCGAGGACTTTGGGCCATTGGAGCGTTTGATGCCTTGTGTAGTTTCAGCTCGTGCGGGTGATGACTTTGAGTCATTGGAGCTTTTGATGCCTTGTGCAATTTTAGCTCGTGCGGGATAGGACTTTGAGCCATTTGAGCGATATGCGGCTTCGTGCCATTTGTAACGGCTTTATGCCATTTGATTTGACATGGCTTTGTGCCATTTGAATTTTGACATGGCTTCATGCCATTTGAGACTTTTCTTCGGCTTTGTGCCATTTGGTATTTGATACATGGCATGAGTTTCACCAATTTGAGGTGGTGAGTCCATCAAGTTTTGTACTTTGAGATGGTTCACATCCATGGTATTTGGAGGAATTTACATTCACGGATTTGGTGTCGTCGATGTTATCTCCATAATCCTTTATTTGGATTGGTTGGACTAAACATGTCTCTATCACGCTATTAGGCTCTTGCCTTTTGTTGCTCGTCCTCAGCTCTAATTCGTAAAGTCTACCTTTACAAAGCCCATGTGAATTTAGATGGGGAGCCGTGGCTTTTCTTTGTTCTCCAAGTGGGCAATATTCCCACTTAACTTAGAGAGGTTTTGTTTTGCAGCAAGCTTCTTTCTTCTTCTATTTGAAGACTTCGAATTTTCTAAGTCCTAAATAGGGCTTCAAGTGGTGGTGTTTGGAGAGGAAAACCATATTTTAGCTTTCCATTTATTTTGAATTTGCATGGAAGACAACAACCCATTTTTTTAAGTGACCATATGCATGGTTTAGAAGACAAACTTCTTTCTCTTCTTCTCTACTGTAGCTTTCCTTTGCAGACTTCGCAATCTCCATTTGTTTTTTCCTTATCTTTTGAATTCTTGCTACAAAAGGCTTTGGGTGGAACTCTTGTATCCCATGTTAATTTTGTACGTGAGAACAGTAGATTAACACCTTCTTCTACAAGTGAGGTTGATCTCGAAGCCATATTCTTGCTGCGTTTGTCATTTGGTCAAGTATACTTGCTGCATACCTTCGAGCAATGTCCTTGCATAGCTGTTGTTGGTGGCAGAGGCAATGGCGAGCATGGATCACTTAGATTTGATTGGAACTTCACTGGGTGGTTTAGACCACCTCGAAGAAATTCATGGGATTGACGGCAGTGGTGGGGAGCGGAGCTCTTGGATTCGATTGGAACTTCATAGGATGGTTTAGATCACACCAAAGAAATTAATGGGATTGACGACAGCGGCGGGAAGCGGAGCTCTTGGATTTGATTGGAACTTCACGGGGTAGTTTAGACTACCCCGAAGAAATTCATTGGATTAACGGTAGTGACAAGGAGCTAGGTCGTCTGGCCATAGAGCTTCATCTCTCGAGCTCCATCGGGTGGTCTGGACCACTTATAAATTTACGGCAACCACCTCCATTTTTGCTTCGGGGGAATGAGAAAGGTTGCAGAAGCAAATTACTTCTTTTTTTTCCTGCAAAACTGAGAGAAACCAAACAAAGAAAGATTTAGAAGGATGGATTTATACCTTTAAATGCTTTGTTGCTTTCCTTTGCCGTGTATCCACTTCTCTGTTTGCCTTTGTTTCCTTGAATTTCCATAGCACTTCACTTCTTTGACTTCTCTCCAACTCTCTCAAGATTTCTGCTGTCTGTTCTTCTCCGTTGTCTCTTAATTTTTGCAGTGTTTTTCTGTCTCCCCTCTGTATGCTTTTGCTGTCACCCCTCTGCGTTTGGATCACATCCTTTTATAGAGAGAAGACATGGAGCAGTTGCTTGCCATTTCAAGAAGTGGAGCAGTTTGGAAGAGCCACTACGTTGCTCCACTTGAAAACGTGGGACTATGAGATTGTTCTAGAAGCGAACCACTTCTTCAAGTTTCAAAATGTGATTTTATCCCATCATCTTTTATTCTCATTTATGTAATTGATTGCAAACAAGTATAGACCTTTAGAGGAGCCAGCCCAATCTCACTTTTCAGAATGAACTTGGGCTATTTTTTCTTTTGTTTATTTTGACCCTTTTTTAAGCTCTTTACCCTTTTTTTTTCTCTCTCTCTAACGACTGTTTATTTATTTTCTTTGTGAAAATAGCTCAATAGTATGTATGTATAAATTTTTACAATTCAAATTCTAAAATATCAAAAAAATAAAATCATAAGCAATTGAAAAAAGAATTGGTTGAAAAATTAGAGTATGCGAACTTAATTATTACATTTGGTCTAAAAACATGAGACATGTAATATATATGTAATGTTTGTACATCTTTCTTCTTTTGATGTAATATAGAAATAGATTTTTTTTCATGTATTTAGTAATTTTGTTTTATACACATCAATGTACAAAGGGGGGGGGTCATGGGCAGGGATCATCAAACTCTAAGGCCCCACTTCGAAGGCTAGCTTAGAGCCTCTAAATTTTGCAGGGTCGGCATTGGATATTATGATTGTTTGTACTATACTTGACCAATTCCGAAACTACTGAGCACCGGTCAACGTCATGCCGTTAAGGACCCACAAGAGTTTCCTTCCAATCAGGAGGCCAATCACAACATGACATATGTCAACATCAGAGGCTAATCACAGCGCGACACATGTCCATGTTAGAGACCAATCACAACACGACACGTGTCAATGTCAGAATAAAGCTAAAGACTCTCCTTAACTATAAAATGAGACCATTCTCCTCCAATGAATCCCTAATGTCATTTGTACAAAACTACTCATTAGAACTCACTTATGAGGAGCTTGAACCTATGTATTGTGTAAACCTTTCAATATTAATGAGAACCCATCTACTCCGTGGACGTAGCCAAACCAGGTGAACCACATACATCTTGTGTTTGCTTCCCTTTCTCTATCTCTTTGCATACTTATCCTTACTAGGTGATCGGAGGAACTGAGCAAAGGTCACAAACTTGACACTTTACGTTGTTCCAAAGTCCTCACTAATTTTGTGCATCAACATTTGGTACCGTATGTGGGAAGCACACTTATTCCTACTTTCTTTTAGCTTTGCCAAGCTGATTTCCATCGTTCGTACACTTTCATTCGATCAGGCATCCCTCTCCAACATGGGGAGCGAAGGAAGTCACAACACATAGAACAACACTCCCCTTGTGCATATTGTGAGGCAGGGAAAGAAAGAATCAAAGAAGTTCGCTCTTCAAGCTAAAGTTGAGGAGCTGGAGGCTTAGAACAACAAGATAGCAATAAAGAATGAAATCCTCCAGGAGCAGTATGAGAAGCTCTTCGAG